TCTGTCTTTACTGTCAGTTCTTATCCCACGATTCTTAGTCCAAGTGTTCGTTTTTCTGTGCAGTTTGGATTATTTCTCTTAAAGTTACAGATAAGATGTTAAAAACAGCCAAACAGAAAAAGTACCCAAAAGAAGAAGGTCATGGAGTCCTTTGTCGAGCAAATGCAGAAATAGGGACACAGGTGGCGGAAGCCTAATGCAGACTACAGATGACGAAGTGGGACAGCTCAATGATTTTGTTGAAAGAAAAAAAAAGCCAAACAAACAAAAGGCTTTCCGTGTGTCAAGGGGGGTAAATTTCAGTTTCTTGGGAAGCAGTCCAAGCATGCAAAAAGGAGTCTGACAGGGACCATGCCAAGATTAAAGTCCAAAAAACAAGCAAAAAAAACCCACAAAACACCTCATAAACTCAACTTAAGGCTGGGAGACTTGAAGAGAAAAGAAAGTGGAAAGACAGAGTGAATCCAGCAGGGAGAGACAGGTGAAGCTAATCAGGTCATGTCAGCAGGTGACCACACCGACAGGAAACACACAGAGGCAGGAAGTGAGGTGGCGAGATTAAAACAGTAACAAAACAGGTGATAGAGGAGGAAAAGAATACAAAAGTCTGTCCAACCAAAAGTAGGATTTCATAAAAACTGTTGAAAATGACAAATCAAATCAAGTCAACAATTAAACAAAAGCCAGTATCAGCTCTTTTGGAGGACAGAACAGAGCGGGTATCAGTTACAAGTTATCAAACAATTATAGGATCTTCAGAACAGTTCTACCTGTCCTTAGGATGAACTATATGAATAAACTTGCCTCACCTTTACATGTCCACTCAGGGCAGAGTGGCTAAAGGGATATTCCAGTGTAAAATTAATTTAGGGTCGAACAACCGTAACACAGAGTTAGACGCCCCCTCCAGAGATGAATGTTGCCGACCGCTTGCTTCTCTAGTTATACCAACTTTAGTAACGACCGTACGGTAGCAATACACAGCGATCTGAGGAGCCATAAACAAACCTCAACCAAAACGCCACTCCATAGCCACAAATAATGCTCAGAACAGCACATAACTTCATCAACAGTACATATAGGGTCTTAGCCATAGCACTAGCCACCAAACATCTTTTTAACTTTGCCTAATTTCTTTAGCAAAGAGACTAAACACAACTCACCTACTCTCTTCCAGCAGCTGATTGTTTGTACAGAGACCTGCATCCATCGACTGCAGCGGGGTGCACAGCTCAAGGAAGAACATTTATGATCACTTCTTCATGGAAATACGATCAGACCGAGACGCTAAGGCAGAAGAACTACAGTGTCTGCAGAGAAAAATGATTAATACGGTGATTATTACTTCAAGGAAATGATAAAGAAATGATCATAAATGTTCTTCATTTAGCTGTGGTCTATGGACTCACCCGGAGGTCTCTATACAAACAAGCGCCTGCTGGAAGAGAGTGGCGTTTTGGTTGAGTGCGTGGCTCTCTGTACTGCAATTTGCAGTTTTTTCTCAAGATGGTATTCATAAAGAAGCAAGCGGTCGGCAACATTCATCTCTCGAGGGCGTTTCTAACTCGGTGTTACAGTGTGTTTAACCCTAACTTAATTTTTATGCCAGAATATCCCTTTAATGTGATACAGTTTTTGTATAATCTGTCATTTTCTGGATTTGATCCCATTGTAATATATAATTTTTAGCATTTTACTGACAGTCAGGTGGTTAACTTTAATCTTATGGAGTCACACTTGCAATAAAAAGTTGTGTTGTACAAAAAAAATCAAATATGTTTGCAGCAATCCGACCTGGAAGTCATTGTTTTGATTTTATTCCTTGTTAATATATATATTTTTTTGTAGCATGAACAACAAAAAAATGTAATTGAACACAGAGATTCAAAATGTTCAAAGTATAAGTAAGATTTTCTTATGGCAGAGTCACTTCAAAGTAATCTATAATTGAGTGTCCTGTCATGCTGGTGTTACAAATATGGTTCATCCGAACTCAGTTTTAAAAAAGCAATTTTTAAATTTGGTTGCATGACATGTTGACAAATCAAGCCTGAATTACTGCCTATTACTTGGGTTGAAATTGATGCTACAAGTCATGATGTGACTGGTACCTGACCCAAATAATCAGAACTTTCTGTTGATTTTACTTTTCCATTTCAGCCCAAAAACGCAAAATAACACCATCACTTCATGCGACACTTTAATAACTCTGGCGTTAGTGAGTGCTAAATCCTACAGGGGGCACCCGCAGGTTTAAGAGTTTTTCACCATTTTACTGGACAAAGTTAAAACACACACTCGCTCCTCCTGTCGAACGCACAGCCACTCTGACATGGCACGGCCAATTAGAGTCCTATTTCAACCAACTGGATGAAGGTGGAAGACAGCGGGAGTGAACGAGAGACAGAGAGAGAGAGAGTGAGATCTAAGTGGGCGGCACACTCTTCTGCCTCGGGGAAGATTGGTGTCAAGTGCAGAGAACACACACAGTGGGCAGAAAATGTAATGAATGTGTATCACTTGTTAGTAAGAAGGATTGGTGTGTGCGCGCGTGTGTGAAGGAGTGTGTGTTCTCTGCTCTTGACACCAATCTAGCAGCAGCAGCAGAACAAGAAGAAGAAGAGGAGAAATAAAAAAGAGAAATGTCAGAGGGAGAAGAGGCTTAAAGCTGAACACACAGGGATCCAAACATCAATATTTCAAATTCCTTGAAAGCACAAACGCATCCATGATTCATAGTCAGAGCGCCTAACTGATACGGGGATGTAGATAGAGACTGACAGAGCGTCCTGTGGTCAGTACAAACAGAGGCTCACTGTTCCTCTGCTGATCTGAATCACTGACGCTCTGTGTGAGTGTGTGTGTGTGAGTGTGTGTGTTTGGTGTAAACAGTGAGATGAATGCTGAGGCGTAGTGGGATGGAGCAGAGCTTAGTGTAGCGTGGGCTTCAGAATCTCAGCATATTGTTTCTCCTCTGATGTTTTTAATGTGGTCTCTGTTGGATTCATTGATAGACAGATCAGGGAACCACATGGGGATAACAGCTGTTGTAAAACAATGACTTCATCTTAACTCATTGAAAGCCACTGTTTGTGTTTCTGCTGATGGATACAGGTCATCATTACTAATGCTTATAGAAGCCTGTTTTTGGGTACCCTACTTTTGTTGTTTTTCTTTCAGAGATATTACCAAAAAAGTGATTTACAGCAAATAAAAGAGTTCTGGTTAACTGTTTACTATCTAACTCATGTGGACGTCCGGCTTAAAGAGCCAATAACTGTTGAGATCAGTTTGCTGTGTGTTTTAAGGTACCCTCCAGCATTGTTTCGTCTTGTTTAAGTTGGCATTTAGTCAGCAGAAACTGGGGTCATTCTTTCAGCAGTACCCCTAAACTGTTACTTCTTGAAGTAAAACACAGCAATGGTTTGAGGTACCCTATTTTTACCTTTTAGTATCCCATCCCTTTCTCATAAAAACAATTTGTATAGCTGATTCAAGGTACCCTATTTTGGCAATTTATTTACAGAAAATGTTTGATTAACCTTTAACCTTACCTAGAAACAGATCCACCTAAATTGATGCTCTGGTCTCTACGTCTTATCTCTTTCTTACTGAGGGAAGAGGTCATGGCTGAATTTAGGTACCCTCTATTGTATGTTCTTTACGCTCCCAAAGACGTAAGAATGGACATTTTAAGGGACACTTTTTACTTACATTTTAACTTTGATCACAAACAAATCTAAATGATGTCAGGAACTTTTTTGTATCTTACTCTCTCCTTGCAAAAAAAAACAAAAAAAAAAACAGTCCTGGCTGATTTGAGGTACCCTCTGTTGTGTATTTTCCACATTTTCTAAATATCAACCTCCAGTATTGTCCTAACTTAAAGTAAATCTTCCCTTTTCTCACTATACTTTGTTTTATTGATTTCATGGTACCTCTAGGGCTTATTTTACCATTCTTGATGTATGGTGTTGCGTCTTATAGTACCCTTAAAATAACCTTTTCTTCCTTCGTAAGACATAATTTGTTGTGATATAGGATTCTTTGTATATGATTTATAGTATCTTACAAAAATTGTCAGTTTTAAGGTGCCCTTGATATATATTTTTTTAAACTCTTTTTAAAATGTGTTGAGGTACCCAATATTTTGGTCTACCACCTTTCCAAAACCTGGTTAAATTATGTGTTTTAAGACTTTCTCAGCAACTTTTTTTTGTTTGTTTGTTTTTTTTCCCCCTCAATCTAGTCTGCTTTGTGGTACCGTCTCATATCGGCTTACCTCATTTGTGACACATATTCAGGGTTGTTTTATGGTCCTCCGTTATTCTATTGCCTTCATTTCAGATAAGCAGCTATGCCAGCCTCATGACTGAATCCATTTTTCTTTATAAAACATTTCAAAGTCTGCTCTTAGGTACCCTTTCATAATAACACCATGAAGTTACTTTTTCTGCGACAGTACACACCATCAAACTTACAGCAGTTCATCCAGTCATAATTCATCTGTGTGACTATATTATTATATATTTAAAGATTCTCTGAGTATCCTTTCATATCTTTGTGCGACTCCAACTACAGATTTGCTCTTCAGGCTTTCTTAAAGCTTATAATGTCTCCAGTCTTATAAAAAGTACAAACATGGTCTTAAATCAATTTCTCACACTCTTGCCAAGCTTCACTTTATTTGATGTCAAAGTCACGTCTCAACTTCAGTATTGGCAGGTGCATAAATCAGCATGACAGACGCTTTATTGGTGGAGTATGTTTTTCCAACTTTTCCTGACTTCATCAAAATGTGGGGTCAGCCCTTCTGCTCCCTCTTTTCTCTCTTCAGGCTTCAGTTTGTCACCACTGCAGCAAACAGGTCGCACACAAATCCCCTGCACCTCTACAGCTCTGTGATAGAGGAGATGCTCAAACGTATAAATAAAACCTACCTCCTCGCTCTTTAAGCAGCCTCGGCTGGTGGCAGGTTGTCCTCAGAGCCCCCTTCTTTTGGATCGATGGCGTCTACTTGATGTCACTCTGGCTTTCAACAGGACGGGGGAACAGAGGCTGATATCTGCAGATGCTGGAAAAAAAAGGCAGGTATTAATCCACAGAGAAGGTACAGCAATTTAGAGGGAGTTTCCAGAATCCATTCCTGTTCTCTTCTAGGTGAAAAAGACAAAAAAGACACAAAGTTTTGGAAAAGCACCAGTACATTGTTTCAAGCAGGAGCTGAGAATGCATGTAACATAATCCTAATGTGTCTAATGTATCAATTTAAACTCTTTCCATTGAAGGTTTTGATTGTAGACTGAATAATGTGCTTTATGAAACAAAGAACAGCCTTATTTGACCCCCTTAAAAGCTCACAGATTCTAGTCAAAATAACAGGTGTTTAACTGCAGGATTTACTCGTCTACCCCTGCAGAGAATTAGATTAGCACCTGCACAATACATAGGGTGAATGTTGGCTTTAGTGGGCTGTGATGAGATCATTTTCACTGCTAGAAGCCATGATCGTCGGCTCTTCAAAGCACTTAACTCTCCTGGCAGAGATTTTACCTTGCAAAACAGGAATATCTGAGCTATCCCAGCCTCAACAACCTAGTTTTTTTCTTATTCTTGGGTTCAACTGTTATTGCAACAAATATAACAGACAATTAAAAAAAAAAAGAAACCAATGTGTCGACGCCATAGTCTGAAATCAAGTGTTTTTCTGCACTAGCCAATCTGGCAGGTTTATGAACATTACTTTTATGCCACTACTTTCCTGTAGACACAAAGGATGAGTCATGTAACCTTAAACCCTGACTACTGCCGTCGAAGATATGCATCTCTGAAAAAAACAGCAGTTGCCAGTAGCAGAAAAGACTGTCTGCCATGGTTTTATGAATGTACTTCATCGCTCTTGAGGGGAAATCTACCGTGGCTGACAAGGGCAGATGATCTGTAATGGCCCGAACAATCTTCTTTGGGAGAAATACACTGCAAATGTAGAAACAACAACAACTTCAAAACACTTTTAAAAGTCTAAAACAAATGCAAATGATAAATGTGCAACAAAAATCTGAAACAATGACATAAATATCTGCAGCTGCTTCCTGCTTTTGTCCAATTTTTCTTGTTTCATTTGTGTAATTGCAGCTTTTCAACTTGGTTTGGCTTTTGATAGCATATTTACACATTTGCAGAACATTTCTAGAGCTGCATTGATTGTGGACGGCTGCATGTCCATAACAAAGTTTGCACACTGGTGGCTTTGATCTCCAGTCCCTGCACTTGCAGTCGCTTTCATCCTAATGAGGATCATCAGGGCCGTTGCAGATCGCTTACCCTTGTCAACCAACATCAGCGAAAATGTGTCCCTGGAAAAAGTGCAGGAAACACACAGATCAGAACAACTTGGTGCAGAATAAAAACAAATATGACACATAACTGGGAATATTAATTGCGAATGCCGTAATTGCAAGTATGGCTTCTCCAACGGAACTAATTTCCTGGCATTTCAAATACAAACACTGAGGCTTTCTTCAGATAAGAGTGTCTTCATGAAAAACCTGAGCTCATATGACAGCACTGTGATTATGATTGGCATGCGACGAATCCACAAAAAAGGCTGCATATGCAGGAATATGCATGCCAGGTGGTATGACTTTGTTCTGAAGAACATCAAGCATCTGTGCATGAGGTGCTTTCAACAGAGAGGTAGGTTTGGTAATCTAATGCCTATGTGGGAACGGGGCTGTGGATTCATTGTTCTCAGACCAGGTATCGAAAGTTTGCACCTCTAGGCATCAAAAACAGCTAACACATAACAGAATTCCAGCAGAACTGAGATGCAAAAATACCAAAATTCACAACTAATCAGTGACTTGTCCATCAGAGACCCAATTAGCTGATCCTGCTGCATGCGGAAGACCACATATGTGTGTTGCATCTGTGAAATCCAAATGGGCTCTCTAATGACAAAGTGCTGAAAAACTTCTGGGTAGAGTGTACGCTAAAACAAAGATGAGTGTTCGGGTTTGAGTCTCTCATAATTGGCTAAATTCGGTTGCAGAGACGACCTCATCTGCAGAAAACTGTAGCTCAAGCCTGCATACTGGTTCTCTCAGCAGTAAGGAGACCAAGCTGATCAACATCTATGATGGCTTAATCACTTACAAGTGACATGCTACTCATACAGCCTCACTTGAAGAATATTCCTGAAAGAGATATTCCGGCATAAAATTAAGTTATGGTCAAACACACCATGACACCGAGTTAGACACCCTGTTAGATGAATGGTGCAGACCGCTTGCTTCTCCAGTTATAAGAACTTTAGAAACGACAGCACGATAGCAATACAGTGAGCCACGTACGCAACCAAAAAGCCACTCTATAGCCACAAATAATGCTCAGAACAGCACCTAACTTCATCAACAGTACATATAGGGTCCCAGCCGTAGCACTAGCCACCAAACATCTTTTTAACTTTGCCTGATTTCTTTAGCAAAGAGACTAAACACAACTCACCTACTCTCTTCCAGCAGCCGCTTCTTGTAGCGAGACCTCAGGCCAGTCCATTACAGACTGCTGCGGGGTGAAGCAGCTCAAGGAAGAACATTTATGATCATTTTTTCGTGGAAATGAAGTCAGACCGAGACGCTAAGGCAGAAGAACTACCTATATGTACTGTTGATGAAGTTAGGTGCTGTTCTGAGCATTACTTGTGGCTACAGAGAGGCTTTTTGGTTGAGCGCTTGGCTCTCTGTATTGCTATCTGCGGTCGTTACTAAAGTTGGTATAACTAGAGAAGCAAGCGGTCGGCAACATTCATCACTCGACAGGGTGCCCAACTTGGTGATACAGTGTGTTTGACCCTTAATTAATTTTACACCAGAATATCCCTTTAATAGGAGAGAGCACGACTTATAGTAGTAGTCTACTAAAGGGATTAATACTAAACCGTTTGATATGTCTTCGCCTGGATTGACAATCTAGTTTGTTGACTTTCAAGTGAGTCACTCACTGGTTTAAAACTTAGTAACAAAAATAATCATTCCTGCACCGATTCTTGCACTTTGTTTAAGAGACTTTAAGCACCAGTGTGAGGCTGCTGGTGGAGAAAAAAAAAACCACAATTATCTGCTGAACTGTGATCAGAAAGATTCCCCTCAGAGGATTATATCCTGTAGCCGTTACCACCTGTTTTGAAGCTGCAGGTTGGAGCTTTTCCGCCGTCTAAACTCAAACAAACATACAGAGAAAACAACACCAGGCTTAAACATTCATGAATTTACCTTCAAACAAGCTGTTTGTTTCCTTCTTTTTTTTCCAGTTTTTTTTTCTTCTCCTCCGTGTTTAGAGCTGAAGGCGGCAATCTCACATCACATCACAGACCTGAAAAGAGACAAACGCAGAGCAGCAGAGTGTTTGCACAGTGTGTGTGTGTGTGTGTGACAAACCTAAAACAGATTGCTCCTCTCCTCTCTTTGATAGCTGTATCTGCCTGTCCTGTTGTTTATTTTCCCATTTATACACAGCAGCAGTGTGTGTGTGTGCATGCTCATATATGTGTGTGTGTGTGTGTTTAAAAAGGCATGGTGAACATGTGAGTCTGTCACACTGTTTTACACACTCACATGCAGCCGTTTATTTTCCTAAAGTGTCAGGTGTTTGCAGCCTACCGCAGCAGTCAAACTGGTTTTCAACAGTTGGTGTGTGTGTGTGCCGCTCGGTGTGAGGCTGATTAAAAGTGAGAGCTTTTTGATTGCCTCGACCCTCCATGGAATTATTAGCATAGCACTTACACACACATGAACACACACGCACACAAACACACGCACACACACACACACACACACACACACACACACACACACACACACACATGCACACACACACACACACAGAACAGGAGTAATTGAGCATTTCTTTTCTACATTACAGACAACAGCATCCAATCCTGGAGCTGGATGCTGAGCTAACAAAGTAACACTTCACTGTTTACCCTCCATATTTAAATTCATGCAGATGAGGCGAGGGGGAAGATGAATGAGCCTGTTTGTGTCGGCTCCCAGTAAAACCTGACCTATACTGGGACTCTAAATGGTGCAAGAGTAAAAAAAACAGCAGCAGCCCTGACAGGATCAAAATTAGATTAATGTGATAAAATATTTGCAGGGTTGGATGTTTTCCAGCCGCAAAGAATTACAGGAAAACCTCAGGAGACGGGGAAGAGAGAGGTTCCGGGAAGTGAAGTGTCCGGTAAACACCGTCCTCGAGGAGAAAAAACTGAGCTTTTACCCTGCAGTGGTCTGACAGAATATACTGCACCACTTTGACTGTTTTTTTATTTTAGCTTTTATTTTTGCCTGGAAAAAAAGAGCAGAAGATTTTCAACAGGAGCTTATTCACCAACATTTCTTTATCAGTTCAATAAGCTACAAAAACATCAGTGATGTTCTGCAGCTTTTTGCACACATGCATTAATTATATATCTTTTAAGTGGTGCAGTAAGTGGATTAAAACGCTTTTAAAGTTAATATTTAAAGCATGTTTTCTAAAGATTCTTTAAGCATGGATTCATACTTTTTGCATTTTTAATCAGCTTATCATTTAACTCGTCTAGTCTGGTTTATAAGGAAAGTGATTTCCCAAAACGATCCAGTAAACAAACAAGCGCACGTTGAACAGCTGTAACTTAAGACCATAAGGACCATGTGCAAAATGTGGATTAAAAGCAGAATTTGACTTTTTGCAAATCCTTGAAACGCTTAATTCAATTTAAATAGTGCAAAAACAGCAAATCAAATGTTGAAACAATAGATAAATATTGTTTTAACATGTTTCAAGAGATCATTGAAAAAATGAAAATGAAGCAATTTTGTTATTTTATTTGTACTTAAAATGTCTGATTGAAAAGGCATATGAACCTGAGGAGGCCAGATAAAAATCCTATTTCAAGATATCACTCCTCCAAATGAAGACCATAGCAGGTTGCAATAACAAATACAATCCATCCATGAAAAAAGAATAATTTGCCTGTCAAGTTTCATTCAACTCAAGTAAAGTTTCCTGAAAACAAAAAAGGTCTGCATCCAAAAAACTCAACTAGTATATTTTTCTTGTTTTTTAAGCGTATCACTTACTTCTGTCTTTTAATATTTTGATACAGGACATTAATGTAGGTCTGTCAGGTGAATGTGGCTCATGTTAAGTCTAATAAGACATTTTGCCGTAAGTAAGACCAAGACATTTGTTAAGTTTTTTTGTTTTTTGCAGTGTTGTTACAGGGACAACAAAACTCCCAAACAGTTGTGCAACATTAAAAAAACAAAAAACGAAGGAACATCTCCAACTAATGATGTAAATTTAAAACAGGTTAGTAACATGACTGGGTATAAAAAGGACAGTCAGGGAGGCTGAATCTCTTAGCAGGAGGAGTGGGAAGAGGTTCACCACTCTGTGAGAGACTGTGTGAGCTAAAATTTCAGCAGTTGAGCACCTGAGTGTCAAATGTTAAAGAATTGGTTGATTTCATCATCTCAAGTACATGATATCATTAAAAAACTGTGAAAGAATCTGGAGACATTTCTTTACAAAAGGGACAAGGACCGAAAACAACACTGGATGGCTCTGATTGGTCCTCAGGCAGCACTGCATTGAAAGCAGGCATGACTCTGTAGTGGAACTTGCTGCATGAGCTCAAAATAACACCGTTTGCAGCTGTGTCCAGAGAAGCAGGTTCAAACTGAACAATGCAAAGAAGAAGGTTGTATTTATATTAACTCTGTAAAGTTTTCTGGATCTTTCCTGCTCTCACAGAGGAGCAGCTGTGCAGAATTTGTTTAACCGTTGAACTGAAGGAAAGTATTTTAAAAGGTTTTAATTAAACATATAGACGGGTTTCTTGTGTACAAACAATACTAGGTGCGCGCAACCATGGGGGGCAAAAGCCTGCTTCGGAGTGAACTGATATCAATGAAGATGCTGTATTGTTTGCAAGTTCTCCATGACACAACTGCAATTAAATGTCATTTCATAAAAAAAAAAAAAAAAAAAAAACACTTTGTCTTTCATTGCATCAAAATCAGAAAAACACTTGCTGAAGTGTCCATGAAATTCACTCAACTTACCAGGTTGTGACGTTGTTTTAGATGTTTCTAATGTCAGGAGCAGGGTCGTAATGTTTGCCGATTGTTTGTTTTGCCGATTCGTGCATTTTCTTTCTCCGTTGACTCCACTAGTAAACAAATAAGAAATGTCCCGCTTTCTGCCCCCTGGCTGCGTGCACATACCTGTGAAGACCTTGCACAGAAACCCGTCTATACTGTAGTTAAAATCCCATAGTTGCCTGGTGGGTCATTTGGGTACTGCAGGTCCTCCAAATTAAAATATGTCCTTCTTTTGTATCTTTACACTAAATATGTTAAATGACTATTTGCACTGCATAACAGAGAGGACACTTTTGGAGTTTTTTTCTACTTTCCCTCTCGTTTTCAGGTCTATTTAACAAAGTCTCTTTAATTTTAGCATCTTCCTGTTTTCATACACATAAGGACCACTGCAGGCCATCGAACCTCCTGTCTCCTGTCATCAGTTTGCAGCTTCTTCTCCTCCTGAAACTCTCATTGATAAACTTCACAGTCACAGGTATTTTCACGCTTCGTTGACACACTTTATGACGTGCATTTACGGGGCGGGTGACTGTTTGTAGAAACCTAAAGGAGACAAACAGACAGTTTGTTCATTATTCTAATTTCCTCTAATGACTGCACGGCTGATGCATCACCATCTGGCGCACACACACACGCACACGTGCACACTTGCACCCCTGCACACACTGCTGTGATAACGCAGCCATTGAATCTAATGACAACGCACTGCTTGTCGTGATGAGACTCCAGTTTGTCTCACACAAATCGGAAGCAAAGCATGATGGGTAAACTGGCTCGTTGGTGGTAATTAGCTTCTTGTTTCAGTGGAGGGGTTGTCCTGACATGCAGCGAACCTCACAGGAATTATTATTTTACTGTAAGAGGAAATGTGACGTTGGGTTGCCAGATAGTAAATAAAGAAGCCGCTGGGTTGCCAGGTCATCAGTGAGACCCTCCTCTGTAAATTGGGTTGTAACTCAGCATGATTAATCATGTCAAGTTTGTGTGTCTGTGTGTGTGTGTTAGAAAGAGAGAGAGATTGTGACACTGAGGCACTTGAACTGAATTGGCCCCCTGGTACCCACAATGCATCTGGAGCTGGCAGCGATATGTGACTGTCCGTCTGTGTGTTAAAACCTGACGATACCTCGGTGTGACTTACAGCTGCTTCTCTGCGACTTCGCCAGCCATGTCGCTACAGGAGGGAGGGCACACTTCAGACTGTGAGGAGCACAGTCCAATCATAACTCCTTAACACTGGGACTTAATGTTACTATGACAACAGGGGGACACATCTGCCACCCATGAAAAAACTCAAAGGTTATTGAGATCTGAGTTGTAAAACACATCAGAATCAGGTTTTAGGGCCTGTGTCCACTGGCAGCAGTATTGGTCTGGCAGCTCACGACTTCAACTGCAGAACTGCTTTTACTGGTGTTTCTGTAGCTGAGCTATAAAAGCCATTTTTGAAAAATATTCTCAAATACATAAATACTCATCCCCGAGGTAGGGCTGGGCGATAAAACGATAATGATATATATCAAAAATTAATTTCCCTCAATATCGATGTAAAACATGGTCAATAAGCTTTTCAATAATCAGCATTCTGCCATGTTTTGGTAGACTATATGAGTAGCCAATGAAAAGGGGAGTTGCTCTGGGTCGGCTTTGTGCTGAACCAATAATGTGCTGAATTGGAACCAAGTAGCAAACAAAGTGTAGTAGCAGGCAGCAGCTACACGCAACCGTAGCACTTTAACAGGTGAAGCTGACAGCACTGCCAGTGAGAAAAAAATAAAATGAGTGCTACCCCCGCAGACATGCAGATGAAGCCTCAACAGATGACGACATCGTCCACAACACTGGCATGAAAATGTCGGTGGTGTGGAGGTTTTTTGGATTTTTGAAGTCGCACATGAAGCAGAGTGATGTGAACTGCAAATTATGTCGAGTACATTTTCTCGTAAAGTTGGGGAATACCTGAAATCTTTTTCACCACCTGAAGCAGTGCCACGCGGCGTAGCAGCCGCAATGCAAAAAGTAACAAACCCTGAGCGGAGCAAGGAGCCCATGGCGCCTATGCAGCCGAAACAGCTGACCATTCAGTCCACTTTCTCTAGTGCAACGCCTTACAACAAAACGTCGAAGAGACACAAAGACCTCACAGATACAGTAGCTTATTGTATTGAAAAAGATATGCTACCAATAAGCACTGTTAAATTTCATTTTTTATATCATGATATATCAATATTGACGTATATGAAAAAAATATATTGTGATAAACTTTTCCTCATATCGCCCAGCCTTACCCCGAAGTTACCTGCAAGAGTCAGTGCAATAGCAAAGGCATACCAGATTTACCTGCAGTCATTTTGTTCACTGAAGAATGATGACAGATCTAAGACTCTGCTATTTCCTGATAAGATGGATCACAGACAACTTGAGTGAGCACATTCAGTCTTAGTAAATTCTAAGTAATTCATAGATCTCTTTTGGATGAAATGTGTTTGTATTAAATCTTCTACTAGACCCTTGTTGCTGCAGGAAGGGAGCTGATTTTAACATCAACATTATTGTTAACTACTGCTGTGAACAGATTTAAAATTTTGATGAACTGCAACAGATTCTGTCAGAAAGATAACTAGAAAATCTCCCCCGAAAAAAAGAACAGAACGGGACTATTGGGCTTGGAAAGTATTGCATTGACTCTCATTTTTGGGATAGCTGTAACGTGTGCTTACTTAACCTTTTGAAAGTTAAAAAATATAGATATATTTGGACATATTAGTCTTATTAGATGGGACAGATTAGCAGAAAGTGGGTAAAGGGTCATTGCTGTTTCCAGTGGAGGCTGGAATAAACGCTATAGCCTCTATTCATGTGGAGGCTACCATGCTTTATATTATCCAAAATTGGTTGATAACCTGGGTAATGTGATTTATTTCAGCCAGAGAGGTTTCTATCTATGTGTAATTTTCTCTTTTTGTCAGCATCTGGTGTTGATGAAACCAGTTCACCTCGGGTCAGATCGACTCAGGTCAACTCGCCGTGTACTCTGTTAATCCAAACACTGTAAACACAACATTGTTTACTGTAACACAGCAACCTTCAAGTTGCTCAGTCCTGCAGTTGGAAAAAAGAGACACATTAAGGAGCAACATCTGAACACAAACAGAGGTCACCTGGAGGATTTCTGAGCAACCTTGACGATTTGAAGCGTAAAAAAAAAAACGAAGAGAAGAATATATTAATGTTCAGGGACGTTTCCACACAGAGGTGAAAATGTAGTTATTCACACACACACACACACACACACACACACACACACACACACACACACACACACTTCTATCTTTCCTCCGGGCTGACAAAGTCACAATGCCTTTATGCTTAACCTCTATTACATATCCCCGCTTGTGCAAGTGCGCACACACACACACACACACACGCCCACCCACAGACTCTCTCTCACATACACACACACACACACACACACACACACACACACACACACACACACACACACACACACACACACTGAGTTCAGTGGTGGAGGCGTGGGCCGTTTCTTCAGGTTACATCTCTGTGAAAAAATGATGGATGGAGGAGATAAAAATCCATCTCTGCAGGCCATTTAGGAGAGAAATGAACACAGACACTGAGAGAGATGACAGATTCGACAGACAGACAGACAGACTGAGAGAGAGACAGACAGACTGAGAGACATACAGACAGACAGACAGACAGACAGACAGACAGACAGATAGATAGATAGATAAAGACCAATCTTTTGAGTCTGGCTTTTAGCTGAATTTTGTTTTAATCTTTTAATCTGCATTATGTGATTTTACACTAATTTAGTCCTACAGTAATTATTTTGTGTTTTATTACCTCTCTTTTAAATTTGCTTTATTTTATTGTTTGATTTTAAGACTTTTATTTAATTAACTTTTCACATTTTATCACCTTTATCATTTTTTATCATGGTTTTAATGCTTTAGTCCGAGATCCATTGTTTCCTCATCTTTTTTAACTCAAGATAGCGTTTCCTCAGTCATGTATTTTTATTTATTTTATTTCATTGTTTTTTAATATCCTGCGTGAATGGACAGCACTTTGTGCTACATTCGATATCTGAAAAGTGCTTTAAAAATAAAGTTTGATTGATTGATTAATTGATTGATTGATAGATTAATAGAATTAGTCAACATATTGTTTAAAGAAAATAATCAACTAAAAAGACGTTGCAGTATTGGATCCTATACTTTTTTTTATTATTCACATTTTCATGATTAATTGAAAAATAATATATATCTCCCTGTTGATATTGTGTGGAAATTAAATTCCAAAATCATGAAAATTTGTAGCTAAGGAGCCCAATTATCTTTAATCTTAGTCAAATGTTGATGTTTTATTTATTTTTTCATCTACTAAGAAAAAATTGTCAGATGACAAAAACATCTTAGTTTAAAGCTCTTGAGTTGAAAAATAGTAAGTCAGCCAGCACTGGCACATGCACAGAAGTGTTGATAAGTATGTGTTTTTTTGTGTTTGGCAGAAAAAAGTCCTACTTAAGATTAAAGATAAAAAGTTTCCACACTTCCCATTTCAGAACATCAAGCCTGATTTGAACCGTTTTAGGACTGCAGCAGATTGTAAAAATTTTCCAAACTCACATCCCACCTCCTGACAAATCCCTTTTTGCTTCCTCTCAATGACCTTTCATGCTCCTTCACTTCAGTCGGAGCACTTCTTAACACCACAGAGCTCCTCAGGATGAAACATGTCGCTGTGTCACGACTTTCTCCTCCTGCTGTTATTCAGATCTCAACCTCAGTGACATCCTCGTGTTGTGAAGTGGATCTCTGAGGGTTTGATCTGCATGAGGAGCTTTTTCATCCTCCAAGTTCCTTTCACAGATGAATCAAGGTTTGTAGAAAGACAGGGAGCCTCGAAATGATATTATTTTTATCCGGTAGATTAAACAAGAAAGTAAAAATAAGTTGTTGGATACATTTTTTAAGGGTTCAAGTGAAAAAAAGTGGAGTACCAACAACAGCAAAAGCACATGAGCAACGTTAAACGCAAAGGAAAGTTAAAGCTCAATGAGTTTAGTTTGTTTTCATCAATGATAACAACCTTGGGTCTACAAGCAGACTGAAGTCACAGCTCAGAACAACATATCTTAGTTTTGGTGAAGAAAGAAATCCGGTTTTGGAAGGTGGTGGATGTGGACTTTGAGGTGCAAATCAAAAGAAACCCAATACCACAAAGAAGGCCTTCATTTTCCCAAACCTGCCATTTTTTCACACGGCACTCTGGTCTAATCAGGGTCGATATCATCAGTCCTGTCTTTAAAAATGAGTCCTCAGCTTGTCTCCTGCCTCAGTCTGCAGGTTGTAATAAGGCTCTTTTATTGTGACACCAGCTGCAGCATGACTTCTGTTCAGCTTTTGATAGGATCGCTGATAGCTTGCTGGTTTTGGCCTCCAACTAGAGACTGTAAACTGACTTCTTACTGACATTTGTTGGAATATCCTCCGGCGAGAGTGAAAAAGATGAACTAAAGGTGGTGAGAATAGGCACAGGCGCGCTTGTCACAGATAAAAGATTGGTTTAACATGACAAACACACAGGGGTGTTACTGGTTGTCTGCCAGCACAAAGCTGACTCTATCATCTAGTTATAATTCGCCTGAAAGTTGATAATCAGGATCTTAGTCACAATTTGCGTTTTCAATTTGCGTCATGGTCGTCTTTTAGTCATGAGAAATTAACACAGCAATGAACAGTTATATGCTGCGTTCCAGTTGTACTTGGATATCGGGATTTCCGAGCTCCAAGTTGAAAAATCATCTGGAAGTCCCCTGATGTTTGATTTCTGACTCGGAAAGTCGGCCGATCTTCGTCAACCCCCATTTGACGACAATGTCATAATTCAAGATGGCAGCACAGTGCATCAACAGTAAAGAGTAACAGTGAAAGCTCTTGTAATGTTTTTGTTATTAGCATTTCTGTTTTGTTTTTGTGAAATTAAATAAGTGGTATATGTTGTACTGCCCTACGTGTGACTGTGAACACGGTGCTGTGGTGTTTGTAAGAGTAAAATACTGTGTTATGCGTTGTTTACAACTAACAACAACTAACAACAACTGACAACAGCCAACGACAGCTGACAACCTCTAACAACAACTAACAACCACTGACAATCGCTAACAACAACTGCTAACGGCTAACAACAACTGACAACAGCCAACAACAGCTGACAACCTCTAACAACAACTAACAACCACTGACAATCGCTAACAACAACTGCTAACGGCTAACAACAACTGACAACTGACAACAGCCAACAACAGCTGACAACCGCTAACAACAACTAACAACCACTGACAATCGCTAGCAACAACTGACAATGGCTAACAACAACTGACAACGGCTAACAGCAACTGACAACGGCCAACGACAGCTGACAATTGTAAACAACAGCTAACAATGCGTAACCGTAGGCGTCCATCTTGGTTTTCTGACTTGTTATCTGGAATGCCGTTAACTCAGGTGTAACGTCAATCCCAGCTCCGACATCCGACTTCTGAGGTAACTGGAACGCAGCAATAGTCAGTGTTTTCGTTAACAAAATTAACAATACAATTAGGTGCAATGTTTCATGTCATAATCTATGAAAACATGTTGAAGTGGTTCAACAGCAGGTGAAGATAAATTTTCCTCCCATTTTTACAGAGTAGAAACAGCTTTTTTATTAACTTCTTCAGCGGGAGGATATTATGGGACTTAAATTAAAAAAAGGGGCCATAAAGTTAATATTTTCAGCCAATCGGGCGATCAGGAGACGATCAGAGGGTTTATGTCTGAAACTGAGACAATCCTGCAGAATGAGGAGGAAGAGTTAATGCAGCTTTACTGAAGGACTGGTCACTACTGCAGAGAGAGAGAGAGTGAGTGTGTGAGTGTGAGGGAGACGGATCAGTATTGGATTTTGAGTCGTTTATATTCAGCCGAGGTTCACAGTGAGAAACTCACTGCTACAGTAACACACACACTCACACACCCACGGCCTGGCCCGGCTCCTATAGCCATATAAATCTATTAGGAGTTATTGTTGGCTGGCGTGTTTCTGCGGCAGCTTCTGCAGAATAAAAACCTCTGATTCGATTCAAAACTTTATTGTCCCATGAGGAGGATTTGTTTTGCAGAAACGTTTTTACGATGAAAACACAATAAAAACAATAAAAACACATAAAAATGGCCGCGGCAGATGCAGAGCAGTGTGATGTGATCAGAGATGAATGGACAAGAAATGTGAAAATCAGGTTTAATAGAGTCACAGCCGGAGAGGAAAGCTGCAGAAATAACATTTAAACCTGATTACAGCTGCTGGAGTGATGCAGGAGCCCCCTAGGGACTGTAAAGGTCATTACACACTACGGCAGGAAGGATGATCAATTATTAACCACCATGTCAGTGCCCTGAGAGCCTGAAGACAGGTGCTGCACCAACAAAGAGTTAAATATGTGTCCAGATTGAGACAAAGGAATGAAAACAAAATAGATAAATAAATAAATAAAGATAAATATCACCTTAATGAAAACATGTAAATTTTTCCTGTTTTAGGTCCATTAGGCTTCACACTGATTTATTGCTTGAATTTAATCCTAATAAATTGTTACATTTTAAGAAATATCATATCATATAATTAAAAAAAAAAAAATCACTTGTTGACTTTTTCACTAGAACTGAAAACCGATAACACAGATGCGCAAATATGTAGTTCCTCAAGTGTCCTCTAGAGCTCTTTCTGAATGTTACTCAGTCTCCATTTGGCTCCATGTTAAAATGCCTGATTTGTTGAATTCTAGAAAGACATATCTAGATATTGTTGGTCCAATTATGAAAAGTTGTATTGGGTGTGATTTTAGAGGGACTGTAACGTTGACATGTATTTTGAAAACCCATTTTAAGTCAGACTAATGCACTAAATCCAGTTCATAACATGTACAACTGCACCTCAATTCAAGTGACAACAAGGTTCACAGGTCAAAACGTGGTGCATGACTGAATAGATTCATTGAGTCTCATTGTAAGGTTGTCACAAATATCCATGTATCTAGTTACACCCTGTGGCTCTTTACATATGTCTAATGTAAAGGACAAACTACAGTATTTATCCGTAGGGGACAGAGTTAACCATGTAAGCCACAGACCCATCAAACACAGTGGCAGATGGTTTAAAATGAAGCCCACGCACAGACTCGGATTGTTACAGAGAGCACTTACAGTGCCACTCTGAATCTACACAGATTTTGTAACGTTTCATAAATGAGATCCATTTAGTTCAAACTTAAGGACCTTCTCTTTCCTTTCTGGGAGAAAGTGACATACTCCAGGACCCGAGGTAAACAGTTTAGTGGCGCTGCAACACACAGCAGGTCCCGTTTGACAAGAAACACTTCTGTTAGAGACACTCGGCTTACTTTGTTAAAGCTATTTACCTGTCCAGCAGAAAGGTTACAGGGTCTGTAAGCATCCCCCATCGTTTACGCAGATTTTGACCTGGCTTCCTAGCTCTTGTCCGTCTACCTCTGTTTTAAGTGCCTGTTTTAAGTTATTCCGCCAGATTCTCTGGTAATTACTTTTTTTTTGCTTGTGTTCTCCGTTCTTTCTTGTTGGTTTCTATTGTTCGAAGTTGTGGCATGCTAACTTTGTTAGCAGCATCCGCCTCACAACCAATCAGGTTGGGGGAGGCGGAGAACGCCTTTGTTTACAGTCAGAAAGAGCAGGCCGCTTAAAAAATCTAAAATGTTGACTACACAGACATAACAAAACACAGCGATATCGTTATATTACCAAATGTCATCAATAACTAATCCCTATTGACTGATATTAAAAGCCTTTTTGTAAATGGAATCCTGCCTACCCCACCTTTAATTACCCTTAATTGTCTTTTCTTTCTGTTCTTCTCAAACCGTGGAAACATTCCACCATTTGTCTTCCTCACAGGCACATAGGATTGCTAATAGACAAAGGAAAACAACTCATTGTTTATTTTTTTATCTCAAATAAGTCTCATCTTAATAATAAAGTAATTAAAACTATTGTTTTATGATACTTTATTGTACTGATATTTATCCTGCAGACAACAGACTGTCAGCTTAGCAAAGACTGTCTCCGGTTGATGAAATGTTCCTTTCAGTTTTTTTTTTTTTTAACTTGCCACAAAAATAAAGAGAGGAAAATAAGTTATGGACTATTTTCTATCTTCATAAAAACAAACAGCAGACAGAAAAAGAAAAAAAAAACTGTTTTGGTTGTTTGTCATTTAAACCGTGAGACCTTTTCCAGCTGAGAAATTTGGCTCTTACTTTGAAAACATTGAGTCATCCAGGTTATTAATGCTGGTCTAACTTCACTGTGTGTGTGTGTTTTATAGTGTGTGTGTGTTTTAGTGTGTAAACAGAAACAGAAACAGTGATGAAGCAGCAGAGTTCAGTTTAGTCAGCTAAATGCTAATCAGACGTCCAGACCAAAACTGCACTCATCAATCCTCCTTTCATCCCTCCTTCTCTGTTTCCTTGCTCCTTTCCTTCCCTTATCAGTCCTCTTTTACTCTTTCCTTATTTTACAGTCCCTAAGTCTGCTCTCCTTTTTCATTCTTTCTTTCTTGCTTCTTCTGTCATCTTTCCATTTCCTTTCGAGTTTGTTTCCAATGTTCTTTCCTTTCCTCTTTCTTTCCCTATTTCTTCAGTCTCTCCTGAGACTGCATTTAAGTATTTCCAGCACTTACAGTCCTTTTGACACCATCAGTCTAAAACTTGAATAAATGAATGTCATACCTCCATCTCCTTCAGTTTTAAAAATGGTGAAGCTAAAATACTGCCATGACAGTGATCCAGCTGGTGGAGCTACAGAATCTACTCTGATGGTTTGGTGCACACAGTCCAGCAGGAGGCATTAAGTTTACAGAGAAGAGCGCCATGTTTTTTTTAAGGTTGTATTCACTCCAGAGCTGTTCGGTCCACTTTAAATGAACCCTGGTCCATTCTCCTGGACAGTCCAGTTCGTTTCTTTCTGCTCTGCTTGAAATGTGGGTCTCAGTTCACTTTCTGGCAAATTGGGATGGATTTCCATTTTTCTCTCTGTCTTTTTTCCTACATAAGTGTTTGTTTGGGACAATGCCGCCACAAATGGGCAGCCGTCATAACCGCGTGAGGTTTGTTTCACTTGGCCAGTGCGGTTTGAAAGCAAACCAGGCTTCATCAATGAGCAATAATGCAGCTGTTTTGAGACTATTGTGTGTGAAAACAACCTGAGTTAAGGGTGCTACAGTAGTGTCCGTAATAAAATGCCATGCCTCAGTTCTCAGCAGCATCTAAACCTATAGGGTGATCAGTTCCCCCTGTTTCTGCCTCAGTCTGAGACGCTTAACTGTTGCCATGAAACACAATTGTGTTTTTATAAAGTGACAAATTTGCCCTTCCAAGGAGATTTACTGTCTGCTTATGTCATGATCTGAGCGAATCTTTCATGCTGCATTCCAGTTGTCCTTTGAAATTCTGATTTCCAAGCTCAGAGTTGGAAATTCATCTGGAACTCCCCCCTTTAGTCGGATTTCCAACACGGATAATCGGACGATCCTCACCAACCCTGACTTGAAGACAACGTAATAATTCAATTCATTTTGTTTTTGTGAAATTAAATAAGTGGTATATGATGTGCTGCCCAACGTCAAACTGTGAACACAGTGCTATGGTCTTTGTAAGAGTAAAATACTCTAATGTGCGTTGTTTACAACTGGTTTCGCTAACAATGGCTAACAACAGCTGACAATGGCAAACGACAGCTGACAATTGAAAACAACAGCTAACAACGGGTAACTGTAGGCATCCATCTTGGTTTTCCGACTTGTTAACTTTTTAACTGTAATGCTGTCAACTCATTCCCAGCTCCGACATCCGAGGTAACTGAAAAATTATTTTTGTCACTGAAATCTCATGACTTTTGGAACAAGCCATTCAGAGCATCCTGTAATCCCATCTGGGGATCACTTTAACACACATTAACTTTGAAATCTGAAACTTGGCTCATGTATAGTTCTGACACCCAACATTTTAAGTAAGTTTGTTTTTAAAATACAAAAAAAAAAAAAAAAGCAAAATACTAGGATTAAAGTTTTAGACACGGAGGGCACTTCTTTATGATATGAGCTCCATATAAGCTGTGTGTACTCACAGTTCACACAAGGGATATTCAGTTAAAGGGATGTTCAGGCATAAAATTGATTCAGGGTCAAGCACACAGTAACACCGAGTTAGACACCTCTTCAATAGATGAATGTTGCCGACCACTTGCTTGGAATATTCCTTGAATGCAGAGACTGTTGACCGAGACTGGGCTGTGCCTGTGCAGCTTGAACAAAGATAGGGATGGAGTGAGATGGCTCACTCCCAAGCTTCTGTCATGCACACTTTGCTGCTCAATTGTTTTTTTCATGAGTCTCACCAATCTGAATAACCTGGTGTTACACTGAGGCTCCTGCAGCTTGATTTTGCTGCCATATTTCTCTAGTTTAGACTCAGGAGATGAGTCTAAGGAGGAAAGAACAACTCTGGACAAATTTGGGTAAACTTCCGGAGTGCACACATGAAAGATGCGTATCCTCTTCTTTCTTTTTGCATGTTTTCTCTTTCTGTCACTGATGAATGTTCCCCTCATTTTTTATCACCCTCCTCCTCTTTCCTCCTTTCTTGCTCGACATAAATCCTCATCACCGCTGTTTTACTCGTATTTTCTTCTCATTTTCTCCTTTATTGTTCCCTCCATCACTCTACGCCCTTTCCCTCCTCCAAGTCTCTAATTTTTCAAATACTTTCCCTCCCTCTTTCTTCCCTCTTTCCCTCTTCCTTCCATCGTTTGAAGGCAGAAATTGATTTGATCACTAATTGTGCTGAAACAAACAGAAGTTGATTAATTCATGTTTGCGCTCTCTTCGTCCTGATAAATGAGTCAGTGCTTGGAAAAACAAACTTGTTAACATGAGAGAGAGAGAGAGAGAGAGAGAGAGAGAGAGAGAGAGAAAGTTAAACTCTGTATTGTGAGCAGTAAATGGGATCATTGCTTCGTTTAGCCCATCGGCTAATTAGAATTCACTGTGTGTGTCCATTTGTTGGTATTCAGTGTGTGTGTTTGTGTGTTTATTTTCACTGTGTGTGTGTGTGTAGTCATTGATCAGACTGACAAAGACTTATTATTGTGTCACTCTCTCTGACCCCTTTTGACCCCGCTGGCGGTAAAAGTGTATTTGTGTGTGCACTTTTTGTGTGTTGGTGTGTGTGTGTTTGTCCTGCTAATGACTTGTCAGCTTCCACCACGGGTGCTAAAGGTGACGCTTCCTCCCTAGAGACGCACACCCACACTTGACGCTCACACGCTCGCTCACAAACACACAAATTCACTCACGCACACACACAAACACACACACTGCATACAAAAGCTCACATTAATTTTTCTGGCAGCGCTTCCTCTCCAACACAAACACAAATATTAACAAACGCCGAGGCTGCCAGAGGAATTTATAATGAGGGAAGGAGAGAGGCTGTAAAGTTAGCTCATAACCCACTCCAGGAATTAGACACCGACAGCTGCAACACCGTGAATAACACTTCCTTCCATTCCTTCAACTTTCCTTACAGTTCATTCTTCTCTGCACTTCCTTTCATTTCCTTTCCTTTGTTTTTACCCTTCCTCTCCTTTCTGTCTTTTCTACCCTTCCTCTCCTTTCCCTCTTTTCTACCTTTCCTCTCCTTTCCATTTTTTTTATCCTTCTTCTCCTTTCCTTTTTTCTACCTTTCTTCTCCTTTCCTACTTTTCTACCTTTCCTTACCTTTCCCTATTTTCTACCTTTCCTTCTTTTCTACCCTTCCTCTCCTTTCCTTTTCTATCCTTCTTCTCCTTTCCTACCCTTCCTCCCCTTTCCTTCTTTTCTACCTTTCTGTTCCTTTTCCTCTTTTCTACCCTTCCTTTCCCTCTTTTCTACCCTTCCTTTCCTTTCTGTTTTTTCTTTCTTACTTTCCTTTCTCTTCACTGCTCCTTTCCTTGTTCCCCTTCATCTCTACCTTTCTGTTCCTTTTATCCTATTAGTCTCTACCTTTCCTTTCTTTTTTCTTTCCTTCTTCTTCTTCACGTTGTTTTCTGTTCCTCTTTTGCTCGTCTTTTCTCCCTTTTGTCTTGTCTTTCCTTCCAAAGTTCCCTTTCCATCCTCCTTCTCTTCCTTGTTCCTCATCCCTTCTTTCCCCTTCTCTTTCTGTCCTTCCCTTCTTCCTTTCTACTTATTCCTTGTTTTTTTTTTCTTTCTTTCCTGCCCTAGTTTCTCTCATCTTCTTCTTCTCTTCATGTCCTTTTCCTTCCTTTTCTTTTACTTCTACCTTTCTTATCCTTCTACCTTGTTCCTTTCCTTGTTTTTCATCTTTCCTTTCTGACTTTCTCTCCTCGTTTCCTTTCTTTACTTTTTTCCCTTTCTCCTTTCCTTTCCCCTTCTCTTTGTTACTCTTTTTTCTGTCCTTTCTTCCCATTGTTTCTGCCTTTCTCCCCCTTTTACTATTTTTCAAATCAACACCCGTTCATCTGTGGACTGTATTTGTTATTTTATTGGTAAAATCTTATTTTTAAGTAAAATCAGAATAGGCAGGATGTCAAAATTGTAACTCCTCAAGCTAATCCTTACTAAACAGACTCAGGCTTTTAATACCACTGGCACCATGGACATATTTTGGCTTAGTTTGAGGTGGAGACATACCATCCATCTTTTCAGTCCTTGAAAGTTTGCAGAGTATGTTTAATTGATTTTGAGTGCATACTATATACAGTATGGACGAAATTTCACGTTGCATACTTATAGTTTTAGACACATTTTGCTCAACTATTTAATTTGATGTATATTACCGTGATAGGGTGATGTCTTGTGGGATAGCTGCTGCAGTGTAATTAGATTTTAATGATTAAAACAACACTGTATAATGATAGAGGGATTTATCAGGACTACAGAAGAAGCACTTTAGAGAACAAAAGTGAAACTCATAATTTAAATTCTCTGCCAACTGTCACACTCTGAACATCTTCATGGAGTCAGGTCTGAAATCACGTTCATGCATATTCATCATCCTCTGTATGTGAAGTCAGTACAACTTTCTGCCCTCTGAGACTTAGACTCCTCTCACTCTAAAGACTGTGTAGAAGCTGGCTGAGATGTATCTTTAAAATGTAGGTAAAAGTAGAACACACAAGACTGTAAAAACTGTGGGAATAGCCTCGGTTCAAACTCAGCTGACCCATGAAGACCTAGATCTCCACAGATGGTTCAATTATCCCTCCTCTAGCAGCGAAATGACATGTTTCCCTGTGGATCAGTGTGGATCAGAGAAGAGAGAGATATTCAACCCTGCTTTCATTTTTAAATGCTTAAAAGAACCACTTAAATTAGATTTTTTGCATCAAGACCTTTTGACTTTGTCAGGAAACTTTATATCAACAAAACAAAAAAATAAAAAAATAAATTGACTAAATTATAAAATGCTCTTATTAAAATTATGGCACTTGTCAAGTTAGGGTTGCTGTTGACCTGGTTAGATTAATATCTAATAATTAGAGCAAAAACTGAAATAATAAGTGCACTGCCAGGCAACACACTGACAGTCAGATCCTCCTCCAATCATGTGAGACTTAGGAAATTCTCATTTTGCCTGTTTTTCCCTGCACAAAAAACAATGTGGGGCATATCTAGACATGTGAGATCAATTCAGTATAGACGTCTGTGTGAGGGGTATACTGACAAAGAAAGGCCTAGAGGACCATGACAACAAATATAAGCATCGATAGAGAATTGTTTTTAGTGTAATTTACTGCTGATTTAAGACACGGGTCAAAACCGACCCTTAACATAGTGGGTGTGTAGTAAAAGCAAACACAGGAGGAAGGTTTATGTACGCCTAAAAATGTCTTGTATAAAGTTGTTTTCCGTAGAACATCCAAGGAAAGTTTAGTGGAAATTACCAAAAACAAAAGGGTAAAGAAAGAAAGAAAGAAAGAAAGAAAGAAAGAAAGAAAGATCCTTACACCTTGTTTTGTGCTCAGGCCTGTATTATTCTCACTCACTCTCTTGTATCTGAAAACAGCCTCACAGGGACGTTGATGTCGCCGACTCTGAGGCGATAGTTTGAATTCACAGAGAGAGAAATGAAATTATCTCCTTTTTAATGTAATTGTTGACGCTCCCTGGCAGAAGGAGAAGCAGATGTAGCGACTCTTTCATCTAATTTGGTGTGGGAACTTCTGGGAAAAGTAGGTTTTGGATATAAAGAGCACAGCTGTTTACATATTTTTGTTAAGTAAATGTGCACCATTTAAATGCTATTTATGACCACATAAGAGCCAAACAGGCCCATTAAATAAAACTGTTACTTCAAGGCAAAGAACCACTGCACTGGTTTTTGAAGGCTGACAATCATGGTAACTAGATAAAGTGATTTATTTGGAGAGACTGTCAACACAAATGAAAATCAGGGACATAATCATGGCAGAGAGGAGACAGGATTGGTCCAAAACAATCTTAAACAGCTAAATATTGTTATGCTAGCAAACATCAGACAGTGGAAGCGACTTAATGTAAAATAAACTCACTTTGTGAGACCGGCAGCTTTCTGGTCTCCAAATCCAATCAGTCAAAGTTGGAGGTAAGAACTTGGTCTGCTAACTATGCTGACAGTAGGCTGCCATCTTTGTATGGCTTGTAAACCAATAGGAGGCTGTATCTACAATCAGCTGACCTTTAAATGCCCAATCAGAAGCCAGAGTTACCTGTCTTAGCAGTGTAGTGTGTCATTGGCTACCTGTGTCTTTTAGAGAAGATTTTAAGGTTCTTTTTAAAGCTCTTAATGGTCTTGGTCCTTCTTATTTGTCTATTTGCTTTTACCGCATGAACCTAGTAGAGCCCTCAGGTCTTCGGGTAGTGATGTTTTAATTGTTCCCAAAGTAAAAACTAGAACATACGGTGAATCATTATTCCAACATTACGGTCCCCATCTGTGGAACAGCCTACCTGCAGACCTGAGAGCGACACCTACTGTTCATATCTTTAAAAGTAAACTCAAGACCTACTTTTTTTAGTCTGGCTTTTAGTTACATTTTGTTTGGATCTTTTTATCTGCATTATGTGATTTTACTCTATTTTAGTTGTAGAGTAACAATTTTGTGTTTTATTACCTCTTTTTTAATTTACTTTCTTTTATTGTTTGATTCTTTAACTGTTTTATTTAATGAACCTTTAATGCTTTATCACCTTTATTATATTTTATTATGGCTTTATCGTTTTAGTCCTGGATCCAGTGTTTCCTTATTTCTTTTAACTCAAGATAACGTTTCCTCAGTCATCTGTGGCAAGTTGAAGAGTCCTGGTCTTTTGCGTATGCATCTGTGTGTGTGAGTGCTGTATGTGTTGAACGGGGTCTGGGAGGGTGGGTGTGGTTTGGTATTTGTATTTTTGTTTATTTTATTTCATTGTTTTTAATATCCTGCTTGAATGGACAGCACTTTGTGCTACATTGTATGTATGAAAAGTGCTTTAAAAATAAAGTTTGATTGATTGATTGATAGTGAAGGTAATAACTCTGGTGGTGAAATTTGTGAAAAATCTGTTTCAGCTTGTTTTTCCACACAGAATAACCACAGGGATGGAAAAGTAGATCATTTAAGAACTAGATCAATCAACAGGGTCAATAATGAAATCAATAACTTCAACTTCTTCCTGTTAAATTTTAACATTATATGATATCCTGACAGTAAATCAGACAAGGATAAACTCTCTGAATAAACCTTAAAACCATCCCGACAACACTGAAGCTCTTCTTCGTAGAAAGCACCTGAGATAGTGAAGCTGTAAATAACCTCAGTACAAAGATAGAAATATTTGCTTTTGAGAAAAGTACTTCCACTATTAGGATGTCTTCATTTTGAGTTGTTGATCAGAGAAAATGTGTGTTGGCTCGAGAGGCGACCTGTGTCACCGACGGAACAGAAATAAATTGAACCTGTTGAGCGTAACAGCCTCTTCAGCCCCTCTCTCCGTCTGTTCTGCTGCTTTCAAGTCAAGACGTTCAGCGCTGCGTGACGACCTCCGACCCCCAGTGGCCAACCTCTCTCTTTGACTCTCTCTCTCGCTGTGACTTCCACTCCGGTGGGACTAACCTTGTTAAATAAAGCCTCATCTAAAATAACTCCATCCTGCCTGTCTGCTCCGCTCCGCCATAAATCCTCCATCAAACACAGAGCAGAGAGCCGATCGATATCAAACCACCAACAGAGAGAAGTGAGTGTGTGTTTGTGTGAGTAAGTGTGTGTGTGTGTGATCTCGGCTTTATCTTTGGACTGTTTGTACTCACGACAGTCCTTCGTTAGCCAAATACAGCTCAGCCAAGGTTATTTACACTCACTCATTTCAAACCTATTCATCCTGAGGTTGACGATGTTTGGCTGCTGTTTGGCTCTTCTCGCTGCATATTTAAAGATGTTTATGGGTTTAAATGTTTATTAAGATTGTTTTTACGTTTGATCTTTACAGTCAAACTTCTTAAACACAAAGGTAGTCACAGTAAAAGAGGGAAAATCCATCCACATTAAAGCTGTCCGGAGTGGCACAGCGGTGTTATGGTAGCACTGTCGCCTCATAGCAAGAAGGTCCTGGGTTTGAATCCGGGTCAGGGCGTTTCTGTGTGGAGTTTCGTCGATATGTCAGCCCTGCGATGAACTGGCGACTTGTCCAGGGTGTCCTCTGCCTTCACCCGAAGATGCTGGGATAGGCTCCAGCCCCCCCGCGACCCCCAACGAGAAAAAGCGATAGAAAATGGATGGGTGGATGGATTAAAGCTGTCCTGTCAAAAAAGCACATATGCTGTATGCTGGAAGGCACCAAAAGGGCTGAATTAACCATTCACAACATCTGCATGCAAGGTCAGCTATTGATGTGTTCTAGGTCAAATGTTTACTGTGAGACACAAATCTGCTTCTTGCTATTTCCCTGAAGCCAATAAGGTTCACTGACTTCCTTGAATGAATCAGACATGATGGATCTGACCTCCATTCAAAGACCCACTCCGATGAAAATCATGTTTTTCTTGTTGTCTACATGTTTCTGATACTAGAGGACATATCATGAGAAAAAAAAGTGACCCACGGAGACCCACAGAGTCCATCATAGACTGCAGCGGGGGGACTCGGCTCAAGGAAGAACATTTATGATCATTCCGTTATCATTTCCTTGAAGTAATAATCACCATGTTAATCATTTTGCACAGCAGACGCGGTAGATCTTCTTCCTTAGCGTCTTGTCTGATTGCATTTCCATAAATTAATTATCTTAGATGTTCTTTCTTGAGCTGCGTCACCCCGCTGCAGTCTGTAATGGACTGGCCCGAGGTCCTCCTACAAACAAGCAGCTGCTGGGAGCAAGTAGGTGAGTTGTGTTTAGTCTCTTTGCTAAAGAAAATAGGCTGTGGCTAGGACCCTATATGTACTTTTGATAAAGTTAGGTGCTGTTCTTAGCATTAATAGCATTTAAACAAGCGGTCGGCAACATTCATCTCTCGATGGGGAGTCTAACTTGATGTTATGTGGGTTTGACCCTAAATTAATTTTACACCGAAATATCCCTTTAAGTAGTAAAAAATAAATAAATCAGAGCGGGACTTTAACAAACTGTTCAAATGTTGTTTTTTTTGCCTATTGAGGACAGACCGGGCAAAGCTTTCGACTGACACAAGTTCCTGTCCACACCACAGGTGTTTCTGAATATCCTTCTGTCTACATGTCGACACCGAAATGGTTGGAAATGCTCACATAAGCCCACAAGAGCAGTAGGTGGTGATAACCGGTCATCAGTCCACTGTGTTTAAACACCGGATGAATAAATACAGATTGTGACATATTCATTTGCTGTGCTGTCTCAGTACTATGAGAACCACTGAGATTTCCTCTTTAACATTTATTTAGACCCAGCAGCACTAAGCAGACTTTAACAAACTGGTAGCATATTCGATGAAAGAAAAGCACCCCAAATGGAGACCAAAAGGAATGTCATAACCAAAATGCAAAACACAAGAAAAATGTACAGACTGAAAATCCAACTCTTTAAGGTTCAAAGGCCCAAGCAGAAGAAAGCAGAAGAAAGAAGAAGAAAGCAGAACCATGCAGGAAAGACCTGAGAGGTTAATGTACCTGCTGCAGGTCTCCAGTCACAGCTGTTTTTGAGCTGCTTATGAAGTCTGATCAATATCTGCTCACTGAAGTTACTTTACCTGAGTCTTACAGTTAAACCAACAACACTTGACAGCTAAGTCAATAATATTTCATCATTTTGGTCTGTGCATTTTATAAAGCATAAATAAAAACCTCAACTCTAAAACGAGATCATTTAGAGAGTTATAAAACTCCTCTCACACCTAATGTATTCGCAGTCTGTTGCAATAAAGTGTGCATCTGTCAATCATCTATCCAAGACTGTAGTACTTTTAAGTTTATCTTAAATTTTCTCACTCCACAGGGAAGTTTGTCAAGATATGTTTTTTGGTGAGGAGAAGTTGTTAACCCTGACCAAAACAAACTCAAACTTCTTTTTGAGACGGCCTCGGCTAACTTTGACTGACTCTTTGAATGTTCTCGACAGCTGAGAAGGCCAAACAACCTGCAAAGGCCTGAGGAGACACACACTGCAAACATGTCAAAGTCCACAAGAAATACAACAAAAAGAAACTGAAATGGATTATCAGAAATGAGTTTAATAAGAAGAGGCAGGTATGAGCAGAATTTAGGCCCTGCATGAGTGAATTCCTCTGTAATACTTCATCACTTCCATTTCTTGGTCTGAGTCTTTTATTTTGTTGTTTTATGACTGCCCCTTTTTCCTATCTCTCTCCCTGTACTTATGAATAATGAAGTGAGCGGGCGATAAATAACTTTATTTAATAAACCGTTTAATGCTGTTGAAATAGGAGGCATTAATCTGAATTTTATTTGCCAATAAAACTAAAGTATAACTCCTGTTTCTGGCCTCCTCTACAATCAGCAGTGTGTCCAGACTTTAAGACCTTCTCTTCGGTTTTTAGAGGCAGCTTTGTTGAATTTAATTCTTTTTCTGCTCTGGGATAAAATAGTTTGAGGAGCCCGGTAATGCTGACTCAAATGAGACTTTAATCTCGACCATCTGCATACAAGGCCATACAGTTGTCTTTTTAGCTGTCTGTGGCAGGATTTTTAGCTGAGTTTTATGGTAGCTTTTTAATGCTCAAACAAGAAAAGCTAGAGGACACAATCACGGCTTAAGGAGCCAGAAAGTCCATCCACTGAGGGAATTCAAATCCACCAATTACTGGTATGTGTTTGTTTTTTTAACCCTCGGTTCTTACTACGATCCGTTTTGAGGACATTTGTCATTTGTAAAAAAAGGGGAAGTAAAATTGGCGTGTTTTCTCCGCTCCAATAAACTCAGCTGTTTAGAACCCACACTTTATCAATAAATATGACATGGCACACAAAAACTGGCATAAAAAGGGTAACACATAAAATCTTTTATTCATTACTTTTTATGAGCATGTATCTGCATGTCTGTTTTGGGAACAAAGTAGGCTGGATGGAGCTTCAAATACCAAATATTGGCACTGCAAAAAGAATTTAAATGCACCAAAATCTGTTTTGACTTCTCATCATTGACATGGCCCAGAGTCTTTTCATTAAAAAAATGACCCAGGTCATTTTGTAGGGGAAAGATGGCGATTTTGTGTTTTTTACCATTAAAAATAGCAGTGACATGGAGCACAAAAACTGGCATAACAAGGGTAATACATCGAATTTTCTATTTATTATTTTGTTCAATGATCAGGGCTGAAGTTGTTTAAGAGCTATGGGTTGAAAAGTGTAAAAAAAGAAAGTTAGAAAATGATTATTTTAAGAGTACTTATCTACATGTCTGTTTGGGGACAAAGTAGGCTGGATGATGCTTAAAATTAACAGAAACCGTGGGTTAAAAAAGCCCCTTTTTATGATGTTCTCCTGGGTCCAAAAATTGGATCTAGAACACAAAAAGACAGTCTTATGTTAAATAAAAGTTCCCAGCAGGGATTGTGACAGAATCGCCAAAAACTCAGTTTGACCCAGACTACTTTGGTGAGAACTTAACGAATAAACCACTGGCCTACTCCTGAGGGGATTGGGATAGTAAACATACTTTGAAATTAAAATAGAATAATGACCAGCTGTGGGAGAATGAATGCAAACATAATACATAATTTGTTAAGCCACTTTGGGTTTTAATAGGTAGGAATTGAAGGTTTTTAAGATTAAATTTGTGGGCATTGGGAACCTCAAAGCCACCCTTTGTGTTCCCCCTGCTGACATTAATCTCCTTCAAAAGGCTTCAGTCTCATTTCTTTTCATTTATTTGGACTCTGACTAGATTACAACTCAAACTTGGCAGAGAACACCATGAACAGCTGAGGAAATTTGGTGTCAAACCAACAAAAGATGTAAAACAGGAAGCGGAATACAAAGTTGGCTGAGGGTTAACAGCTACTGTTTTCTTTCTTTTCCAATGTATTCTGTGAACAGTTTTCTAGTTTGTCAATTTACTGCTAATTTTTGCTCACCATAACAAATTGCAGTTTGTTTAAAAAAAAAACATGATTTTTTAAAAAAAATAATTAAAAGGTAAAAGAAAGTCGAGTGTGAAACTGATAAAAATGAAGCAAAATTGACCAAATTCACTTTAAAATGGCTCTCTGACTCTGCCCTGAGTAGTAGACATTCAGATACATACGTGAATTGATTTCTTTACCAAAAGCACTGTATTATTCATCGCCATGGAAACGGACACACCCTAATTATGGGATGTTTCACTCTAAATGGACCCCTGCAGCATCTGAATGCCAGGATGTATAAGTGTGTTGAACTCTGTATAATTCGTGCATGGCTGGATCAGAGTGTGTGTGTGTGTGTGTGTGTGTGTGTGTGTGTGTGTGTGTGTGTGTGTGTGTGTGTGTGTGTGTGTGTGTGTGTGTGTGTGTGTCTCCTCGGGCAGCAGACCAGCTCTCTCATCCTCACTTCCTAATGAGATTTAATGCTGAGTTGTCCAGCACACACACACACACACACACACACACACACACACACACACACACACACACACACACACACACACACGGTTCATCCAACAACATTTTAATAATAACTTTCTGCCTTTATCCAACCCGCTCTCTGCCTGTTTGACTCTCAGATCGCTGCAGCTGATGAAGTTTTTCTGCAGTGTAAAAGACTGAGGATGAAATAAAGTTTTTATAAAATCAAGACAAATATGAATTATACAAAAAATTCTTTTCAGCAGGATTACATAAGTAAGCTAACTCTGCATGAGTAAAATGCTGTTGCAGCACTGAGCATTGGCCTCTTCTTTGAGGTACAAAATTTACCGTAAATTCTGTAATACGAGTCACTTGGGGACAGCACTCTCTTTCTCATGATCTCTCAGAGGTAAAAATGTTGAAACTGTCTTCTTGCGTGATGATTTCCAACATATTCAGCAATGTGCAGTTTTTGTGCAGCTGTGTAGTTCTTTCTTGTACCATCAGCTTTTATCATGTTGAGTTGATATTCCTGCTAGCTACGGCAACTGAGGGGCGGAGTCAGACCTAGCTGTTGATAGCAAAAGACCTTAACTGCTACTTAAAACAAAAAGTGATCATGATAGTAGTGCAACAAAACAAAGGTACAACTGCAGGCAGAGTAGTACGGATATGTTACACTGTCTGATGAAAAAGTTAAGTGCTGAAAAGTGCCTATAAAACTTACATGTATAAGAACTCGAGAGTCTGTTGAGATTTTTTAAATTTTGGTAACACAAGAACACTTAAATACATTACTAACAAGTGAAACCTCAATGGTGGCGAACTCACATGAGGTGATCCTGCACAGCGGAGAGCGTGGTGTCAGTCTCAAGGCTGGAGTTTGGCTCTTTTCACAGAAAGGTTTCTGACCTCTACCCTTGTTTGAAACGATACAATTTAAAAGAAAAAGTTTTCAAATCCAGAACAAAAGAAGAAAGTTAAACTCCCTGATCTCAGATGATAAAATAATGTTCAGTCTATCACTCATTTCCTCCCTTCAGCTGCAGATGTCCCAGGCTAGTTCTTCATTTCTGGTTGGAGATTGTAAAACCATTAAATCTGCAGCTGCAGAGCCGAGCTGATTGGTGTGAAACCCCTGCAGTGATCCAGGTACGAGGTTCAGGTGTGTGATTATGCCGAGACTAACTTCAGGGTCATTATCTGAACATCATGAAGCACGTTTTACTTCTTATTATGCAATAAGTCGACTTTTCGTGCTCAATATTTCTTCATTTTTCTCACTGATGATGACATAAACTCAACTTTTAAAGAGTTAACTAGAATCCTGCAGCAAATATTTCTTCAGCTGTTTTATAGCTGCAGTTTTTGAAGTTCAAAACTTTGAATAATTGGAGGACAAACGTTGAAGTTTGGGATGACGTCTCCTCTTGAACAGATTTACAGAAGCAGACGTACAGTAAGAGAAGAAGAAGAGCACAAAAGACCAGCGAAGAAAAACACAGTCTGACAGCCGAGCTTCAGGGATCTACCCCGAGGAACTGAGTCAGCTCCCACACACACACACACACACACACACACACACACACACACACACACACACACACGCACACACACACACACACACACACAAACACACACACACACAGATAACACCCTGGCTTGCTACACACTCAGGAAGTCTCATACCACCACAGGGGGGCTGACAAAAATCCGTCATGACACACCCATTGACACAAAATGGTCTTTGAAGCAGAACCATGCTGTCTGACACACACACACACACACACACACACACACACACACACACACACACACACACACACACACACACACACACAGAAAAGAGTGCTGACAGCTCTGACTGCTTCTCTTCTGCTGTCACAAGTTTATCTCAACACCAACTTCACAAAGAGAAGAAGAAACTGTGGAAAATACACAGAGGTGCCGTGATGAAGAGGAGGAGGAATTAAAGTGTAAATGAAGCAACAGTAGGAGAGAAACATACATGAGGTTGTGGGTTTGCATTCAAATGCGGCAAACATTTCCTCAGTGGGTTGGATCGATGTTCGTGCTCATCATTATTCAGCTGCCGTGGTAAAAGTTCAGACTACAAGAGCTCCTGTCTGTTCATAATGTCAGATTTCACGAATGTCGGCTAAACGGCACAATAACAGCCTGTTAGACTGACATGACAGAGGAGATGACTGCTGGTTTTATATTCATATCCCGACCTTAAAACAAAAGGTATCAGTGTTTTATTTCTAATCGCTGCCTCTTCAAGTGTGTTTGTGGTTAAGTCTGCTGTAACAGTTCAGTGTAACTCGACTTTTTCAAACTGAGTCACTTCAGATTTGTTCAAAGTGCTGTGGAATAAAAAAACGTGCAAAGAAATTAGGAAAACACGGGACATAAAAGATGACAGTGAACAAAAGGAGCCATGTCAAATGAGAACTAAAGCAGGTACAAGATAAAGGAGTAGTACCATAGACTGTTTATACTATGGACAACTTGGTTCTTCCTTCTACCAGTATACAGAATCGAAGCCGAAAAGCTAATATCGCGTTTTTTCTCCATTTCCTGAAACCAACATTGTGCAGTAGCATTGTACGCATTCGGTGGGAGAGTCGCCGAGAGTCGCTGTGATGACACTCGGCTCAAACAGCGAATCCCCCCGATGAGCTACGCAACCTTCGTACGCCTATAGGCTGTATCAAGTGTCAATCATAGAAAACATGAACCCCCTAATAACTTTTTAAAATTGAGCTGCACAGAAAAAAGAGGACTTGAACACAAACCAGTCTTACAGTAACTACATGTCAACATCGCAACCACGGGGGGAGAAAAAATTTTATTCTGTGTAATAAATTTCTAAAGTTTGTCCACAGCTCCATAAGGATGACTGGCGGAGGCGGGATTTACAACCTATACTGCAGCCTGTCACCAGAGGGTGCTGTTCTCGGAGTGATTTCAGCCAGCGAGGAGGCGGACTCTGTCCGTTCTATATACAGTCTGTGAATACTACCCAAAATCGGCACTGTTCCCCCTTTTGAACAAAAGTCAGCTAAAGCCTGATTTTTAGATAAATTTGATGATAATTTTCTCAGATTATCCCGTGGTCAGAAAGGATTTCTTTTCCCTTAAATCTGCATAGAAAACAATTGAATCTTCACTGATTTGAAATCATAAATATGTTCAATATTTACAATCACAAATCCATGAGTATGAGAGGATCAATGAGGATGATTGGCAATGAACTCTGTCTAATGTCATGAGGAAAAACTCGACAGCTGATCAGAAAGCAAGCAGCCGCTAGAAGGAAAAGCAACAAATGCTTGTTGATACTCGACGCCAACACAAGTGTTTGCTTAATTAGCAGCGCTGGGAAGGAGCTGAAATTCAATCACGACTTCAGCATCTGTTTCCATGTGTGGAGTCTCTATTGATGAAGATTTTGAACATATTTTAGTGTGTGCCAGACTTTAGAAACCGTGCAAACACAGAGAGAGCAGGTCAGTCTGGACATTGCTAATTCACTCTGATAGCATGAAGCCATTCTCGGTTCATTTGCACATAAAAAGGCTTATTTTACTCTGAAAAAATGCATAATGGCTCATATGGATGAATGCAAACAACACTGGCGCTCGGAGATTAAATTTGCTCTGCAGCACAGTTTGAGGACCTGACCTCTCGCTCTGTGAATTCATCTCAATCTTTTTGTCTTATTTGCAAAGGTTTGGTTTGCACAAAACACTATTCAGTCCTTTTTTGTGGATCTGTCCCTCTGTCATCTCTCAAACCCACAAATAAAAGAGCAGATTGCAGCCTCTCTGAGTCCTGTCAGTGCAGAAAGCCTTTCATGTTTAATAGATGACATCAATGCCATACATGTAGGCGTCAGGATAAAGCACTCAGGAATCATGTTTTCTGACCTCCAGCCTCCTGAATTACCTCGAGGTGCTTTTTAGAATCTGTCAGTCTTTCTAAATTATATCATGTTTTTATGTTTCAGGTCAGCATATTCGAACTCTGTGACCTGCAGGTGAAAAAAAAAGAGCCAGAAAATAAACATGTGTACAGTTTGCGATCATATCTAACCCTCTGGCTCTCTACAGAGGTCAGAGGTCAAGAAAAATGTCTGACACTAATTTGAACAGTGAGTGGGCGATGAGATAACCTTCATCATTATTCACGTTCAAAAAAAAGGAAAAAAACCCGAATATGTCCCGTTGAGGTCAGGGCATTGTGTGTGCAATATGGAAATTAGATTTTCTAGTTAATCTGAACTTTAATATATGGATCTAGTCCAAAGAATTTCTGCTTCAACCAACTAGTCACCAACTATGCTGTCGTCAACAATCCACAACGCTGTCCATGGTGCTGAAACCAACCTCACATTCAGAATGTCAACCTTACTTTAAAATGGATTAAACCAGATTTACAGAAAATAAGCCTCTCCATCTGACAGAATCATCTACCCTACTTTAAACTTATTTCATCAAGGAATTAATCCATTTTCATTTATACATCTTACATGACATTTTCCTGCTTAAAATCTCTACTTGTAGACTTAAATCATGACACCGCATGGTTACGAAAAAGACCTTTACCGCTGATGAATTTAATGTTGGCCAAATTAACTAGAGGTGAGCAGAGGTGTCATAAACTGAACTTAGAAATCTGGACTGTGGGAAAAAGAGAGGAAACTGGTGGTATTGTGTCTGTCTATGGACTTCACACGTTATCCTGTTTGTAGCACGATAGAGTGGAAGAGTGAAAAAAGGTGACTTGGGCCCAATCCCAAACCGCCCCCTACACACTCGCCCTTCACTACCGAGTGTCACTCGTAATGAAGTTACACTCGCAGCTGTGGAGTGTGCCTCAATTGAAATGGGAGGGTATAAACAAGACGGGCGGGTATGGGACGCCCTCCTCACTCAACCGGAAAATGGAAAGATCCATCGCCATGGCAACGTAAAGACACGTCCTGTGCATGGCAGCGTTTCTTTGTAAAGTAAACAGGCATCATGTACAGTTCTGAGCTGCACCGGCTGCCTCATTTCTTCATTGTCCCAGTAAAATCATATATACAGCAACCATTACAGTGACAGGAGGTAAATTATACTTCTGATTGTTAGTGATTCCACTTGTTCCACAGAGTTTAAAAGCTGTCAGTCAAACCCTGGTGTGGACCAAACAACAGGTCCACTTATCTTTGGACTTAGATACAGTTTGTTTAAAGTGAGAACATGAACTGACCTTCATTTGATTTAGTGGTAACATCTGGTCTTGAGAAGTGAAGCCGATATGGAAGTCCTTTTGAGGCTGTCTGCGGAAGCACCTGAAACTATGTATACACCAAGATTTAAGTCCAATCATGTGGCTTTGGAGGGGAGTTTTGGTGCAGTTAGAAAGTTTTTTGTTAAGAGTTGAAGTTGGAGAACTTTTTCCATCTTTTCCTCTTTTCTACTTTGCATGTCTCTGCAGCAGATTTTGGTTGTTTTGAGGAAACGCTTCTGTGCATCTGAGGTCATGACCACAGCTGTCATACTGCTGGGAGATGGACTCTATGTGTGTATGGGTGTATGTGTGTATGTGGGGGGGATGTGTGTGATGTGTGTTTGAGTGTGCCAAATGTAAAAGAGAAAGGGTTTGAGGTCGCAAAGGTCATTTAAAATTTAAACTCCATTTATGGTTCTGCTGTACTGTCACAGGGAATACAATCTGCAAACACACACACGCGCGCACACACACATACACACACGCACAAAAAAACACACATATTCCTCTTAACCGCTCCTGTAAAGACCAGATATTGAGGCTGACAGCTTAAAAAGGTTTCAGTGTCATCTGCAATACAAGTCGAGGTTACGCCATCAGAAACCCACTGAAGCAGATACACATACACGCACATCCACAGACACACACAAAGCGCACATCCACAGACACAAACACACATTCAGAGATGCACAAAAGCACATTCATAGACGCAGGATTACGGTCTCAGCTGTGTGACAGCTGTGGTCAATTCTCGGAGCGCTCTCATCAAAAACAAAACAAAAAAATTGCAGCCTCGACACAAAAACAGACACACAAACACACATTTTGGCCTCGTAGGAAGGGCTCCGATCCTTCCAGGCGGTAAAGTCTGGCTGAAATTAGAGAGAAACAGCTGAAGAGGGATTTTATCTGCTGCCCCTCATAAGACTGTTGTTTTTGCAGTTCTCCGGTCGATGTCAATCATCTGCCACTCTCACACAAAAGGGTGAACAAGAATGCAGATTTTTAGCGAAGTGCAAGTCCAGGCAGGCTGTAAGGTCAGGTACATTAACTGACCCAAATGCCAGCTTGTATCAGCTCACAAGTCATTCAATAACCTTCTATGCATCTAAGTGGTAAATGTCAAATTGAATGGCGCTCCATTCAAACTTCTACAGCCTGCCTACTCTTCCTGCTTCCTCTACGGCTCACCTCCACTCCAGCTCCTCTTTGATGCTCTCTGATTTTAACAGAGTCCTATGGATGGTCACTGATGCTTTCTCTGGTCTTTGCTGCTGCTCTACCTGCCTTGGCTTTTCATGTTTGCATCAAGTTGCAACCTCCAGTCTGAAATTAAAGCCAATGTGGAAATGCTAAAACGAGTGTTGTGTCATTTGCGAACGATTCATTCAAAAGAACCAAATCTTTGAAGTGAACATACTGAACTGAATTACTTCCTCTAGTGATTCGTTCGTTTCTCACTTAGTTATATAGTTAGTAATCATACTGTTTGGCCAAAAGGGTAAAGGCTGAAGCTAAGAGTTTATAGCGCCTACCCCATTTAAATGTGAGACAAAAGGAAAGACAAAAAAAACCCCACAAAAAAACAAAAAAAAACAACAACAAAAAAAACAAAAAGCGAACTGATTCTAGTGATTCAGTACATCTAAAAAAACTACTGTGCTCATCACGAGCTAAAACTGCAGTTCCTCAGGTGCCCACTTGGGGCTGGCTACAAAAGAACTGAAAACCATGTACACACTGAGGCAATTAACTAAACCAACCAACTGAGATTATTAAAGAGCAACTTTTGATGAACTTTTGTGTTGGTTCTGGTGCCCCTTGTGGACATAGTGATAACTCTTATCTCCTGTCCTGTACATGTGAGAGTCTCTCCAGACAAAAAGCTCATCCTGTTATCTTTTAACTAACACATCAATCATTCAGAATGAGGTTTTTTTTGTTCTTTTTTTGCCACAGAAGTTATCAATCTTATTGCTGATGGTCCTGATTGCTTATGACAGTTACAAAGAGGCATCAGTCTCAGTTTCAGTCTATTTTTTAAACAATGAAAAAAGAAAACTCTCACAGCATCACTTCAACTTTAGCATAAAAAGTCAAAGTATGAAGAAGAAGAAGAGGCTCACACACTGATCAGCAATTAGCTCCAACAATGCTTGTGTAGTAGCTCCAAAGCTAGTGTAGCCACACGTCCTTGTTAGACTGGTACTGTCTGTTTTCAAGCTTCCAACAAATATCTATGAAGTACTTGTATGTCCAAGTTTAAACCAGTTGAGACACCAAAATAAGACTGGTAGAGCTATTACACAGCTCAGTGTTACATAACTAGCCCACTCTTGTCAGATTTCAACAAAGCAAATAGACCCAGGTGCAGACAACAACACCTTTTATCAACAAAAAACCACAGAGGGAAAAAAATACAAAAGGCTTACTGTGACAGAGTCCTGGGTGAAAATCCAATAACACGAGAGAAACCACAACAGAGCTGGAGGGAAATCCGCAGAAACACATGGGAGGGTTTGACTGTGATCTGATAAAAAAAAGAGGGGAAAACACAGAGACTAAACACACTGGGTAACAAGCAATGAGGCACAGGTGAGACAACAAAGCACAGGTGGAGACAACGAGAGGGAACAGGAAGTAAAGTTAGACCAGACACACCAAGAAAAAAGACTTACAAAATAAAACAGGAAACACTTTTACTGAGAGGTTGAGTTTTGGAAGGTAAGGAGGCGCTGAAAAACTTGTGATTTCACGGACTGTAAAAAAGGATTCTTACTTTTGTGAGAAATATACAATATTTCAAGTTGTCTCATCTTAAAGGGAGTTCAAACATTATGATGTTCTGACTGCTGCTGTGAAAGGCCTCATCTGGTTCATCTGTACATCAGGGGTGGCTGTGGCTCAGTTAGTAGAGTCAGTAATCTCCCAATCTGAACATCAGGGGTTCGTTCCCAGAGCTGTCCACATGTTTAAAGGAATATTTAGGAGTAAAATTAATTAAAATTAATTACACTGAGTTAGACACCCCCTCGAGAGATGAATGTTGCAGCAGTCAGTAATGGACTGGCACAAGGTCTTGCTACAAACAAGCAGCTGCTGGAAGAGAGTAGGTGAGTTGAAGTTAGGTGCTGTTTTGAGCATTATTTGTGGCTATAGAGTGGCGTTTTAATTGAGGTTTGTTTATGGCTCCTCAGACCGCTGTGTATTGCTATTGTGCGGTCATCACTAAAGTTGGTAAAACTAGAGAAGCAAGCGGTCGGCAACATTAATCTCTCAAGGGGGTGTCTAACTCTGTTACGGTGTGTTTGACCCTAAATTAATTTCACGCTGGAATATCCCTTTAAGTGTCCTTGGGCAAGACACTTGACCCTCCTCACCCCTTGGGGCATGTAGAGACCCCTAAAGTTGGGCTCATTTAGAAAGAAAGAAAGAAAGAAAGAAAAGAAAAAGGAGCTTCAGGTTGTTGTTTAGCTCTTATACGAGTGATGACTGAGAAAACTGCTCTTTAATGAGTCTTAAATGATAAAATAACAGGCAGTAAAAACAAATTCAGGAAAATAACCATTTACAGTCAAGCAAATATCACAACTCTGGCGACTTCTTTCCCCTCGGTTGTCTGTCTTTCTTTGGCCTCACTGACAGTTGAACTCCTGAAGTCACTGACATTTCAAACAGTCAAGTGGAAGAGCGATAAAGGTCAGAGGTCACGGCTGCATGACTGACAAACAGAGTAGATGCCAACATCATGAAAACTGCGTATCCAGTACTTCATATCAAGTGAAAACAAAGTCAGCTTTCAGTGTGGAAGTGTGGAGTATTAGTTTAGTCATTCTTAAACCCCAAAGAAAGCAAAAACATCAACAGGCACTTTTTAAAAATATTATTTTGTTATTCATCCAGAGGTCATTAATCATCATTATTGTTGGAAAAAAAAGTTTTGTTTTTTTTTGGTTATATTTTTATTTGGTGGTCTGAAAAGTGTTTTTTGTTTCAGCAGATTTCTCCCACTCAAACTAGAGCCGGAGGTTTTTTTTTTATTGTGCTGTCGGCAGATTTAATGTGATGAGCGATCATTAAGATGGATTGTTGGGTGTAGGCGTCGACTTTTCTGTCATTTCTATTTGAGGGGAAAACTGTAGAGTAAGTTTGACTGTGTGAGATGGTTCAGATCTAATAACGGTGAACTACAGTAACTAGTAATCTAACCCTGTCCATGTCGAGACAGAATGAGAATATGATTTCCATTATTCAACACATCATGAGAATTCAAGTCAAATTCACAGCAGAGCCACTAAATCATTTCCTAAACCTGCCTGATTATCCATAGAGCTCTGGATCTAAGAGTCTTTGCAGAAAAAGACCCATAATTCTCTGGATTTTTCTACTTCTGCAGGTCTCTTCTTTTTCAGTTTTTTATCATTTTTGGATACAAACCCTGTAGAAGTACATGCACAGTTCATGCAATTACTATCATGTATTCTGTAAGACTTGTCTTCGTTTATTTTTTATGCTTTAATTTCTTCTAGTTTTGACATAAATCTTATGGATGGCTGAAAATAACAACCTAAGAAGCACATTATATCCCTGTATCTATTTTTTGTGCACTTACAAGTATAACCGCCCGGTCATTATACATGCAAATCCCTGGACTGATTTAGTTTCTTTGTGGATGTTTAGGTCTTTTTTTTCCATGATTTTCAGTCATGTTATGATTCTTTTGCTCTTCTTTTAGACTATACAGTATATTTGAGGGTTTTTTAGGTATATTGGTCATCTGCAATCTTCCGTTGATCATTTCAGTTGTCATTTTGCTAATTGTGCATCCCTTGCCCGTCATTTTTAGTATTTCTGTGGTCATTTTGCATATTTTTGCGCCTTTACTTTTGTGTTTACTGACATTTTAAACAAATTTTTCATTGTCTCTCTGCAACTTTGCATCTCTTTGGATTATTTTAGTATGTTTGGAGTCATTATCTTCTCTCTGGCCAATTTGCATCTCCTTTCGAACACTTAAGATGTCCTGATTATCTTTTATTAGTCATCTTGCATGTCCTCTATCATGTTTCATATCTCTTTACAGGGCTTTCTGTATGGCTCTTCTGCTTCATGCACAAAGGGCCCTATTTCATCTTTGCACGGTCGAAAGCACATGGCCAACTTTCACTGGTGTGACCACATGTTGCTAGTCAGGCTGCGCACAGTCTGGATGCTAAGTAGGGTGCAAAGTGCAAAAAGGCTCAGTTATTCAAAGTTGTTTTATATGCGTATCACAAATCAAACCAATCAGTGCATTTGCTCTCATTCCCAGGCATTCATTTTTCAACCTTTCAGTAGATTTCAGCCTTGAGACTTGAAGATAACAATGTAGCTGAAAGCGCAGTGAACTGAGTATCTGTCCTGAGGCGTTTTTGAAATCGAAGCATGTTAGGGGCTGAGTTCAGATCCCCTACTCCCACATCCCACAAGAACAAGAACAAGAAGAAGTCAAAGTAAATATTGTTGAAGGTTAGAAAATATTAATAGGTCGACTTAAAATACAGATAAAATGCAGAATCCTTGACGCTCAAAGGATAGCCTGCAACATATGCATTATACTTTATCAAAAATGAATATGCAGGCACATGTCTTAGTCTTTTTTTCTTAGCAATGTTGCATACAAAAACAAGTTGAAATTCATCACTTTTTTGTTGTAAAATTCATAGAAGTTTTTCTTTCACTTTATACAGTATGCCCTAATGTTTTAAAGCTTAATGCTTTCTGGATGTCTTCTCCATTTCATCATTTTCCTGCTGGCTGCTGCTGAAGAGACTGACACTGTCCTCAGAAATAAGGTGGGTTTTTGTGCAGCACTTCAATGTTCTTGTGAAGAAATGTCGGTAAATTTGAATAAATCACAGACTTTGCTTATCCCGTGCAAATGCACCACACCCAGCGTCAACATCAGGGGGTAATTCATGATTCACCAGACATCCCAATGTAATCCTGAGTTTGTTGGAGTGCTTAGATTGCAAATAGCTTCATGAATTAGCACAGGTTAAAAGAGCCCTTTAAGTAAATCATCTAAGTGTAAACCACAGCAGCAACTGTAAAATCATTTTTAACCATATTTTTTCAAAATGCATTAATATAATGATCTAGTTTTCATTCTTTAAAGGCTGAAACACCTTTCTTTACTTTCAACATTAATTATAAATCTAATTTTCTCCACTGGCTGTTCAAAGATTATTAATATGACTGAGTTATACTCTTGATGAATGATGAATGATGTTTATATAATAGATTTCTACCTTTATTATACATGTTCACACTTGAGAATGTTTCATGAATTTGGGCCTCTGACTGAGGGATTCAAACGTAGATTTCCATCAACATAAATCCCCTCTCTGTGTCTTTTTATCACTTTTGTGTGTGTGTGTGTGTGTGTGTGTGTGTGTGTGTGTGTGTGTGTGTGTGTGTGTGTGTGTGTGTGTGTGTGTGTTTCATTCTTAAATATCATTTTCAGCAGACGTCCAGCACCCCAGCATCTGCAGCCATGAAATAAACCTGCAGCTACATATTGATTCTCGCACACACTCACATGCGTCACACCTCTGGAGAGTTTTAGATTTAATATCTGTATGTGTGTTTAAAGCCCAACGCTTTTTTAAAAAACGAGGTACTAAAGAAAACGCTCCAACAGCCCGCCGTATACACGAGTTATTAACTTAAAATCAATCCAAAACACACATACAGTTACTCTCTCACACACACACACATATGGTTATGCACACACACACACACTCACCCACACAGGCGCACACACTCACAGTCGGTGGATGTTATGAATAATTTATGTCATGTGAATGTTGTGGGCCGAACACAGTTAAATGCAAGAACAGCCTGCAGGGAAATCACAGCCCAGCATTCCTGTCTGTCTGTCACACACACACACACACACACACACACACACACACACACACACACACACACACACACACACACACACACACACACACACATGCTCTAATTCAAACATATTTGATTTGCATGGATGAGTATTAGACATTGACACAATCTAAAAAACATGAACAGCCCGAACACGGCTCCACCAAATGACACATTAATATTCAGCAACAAAGAAAAGTAACACACATAAATGCATTAAAGTCTGCACACATACACACACATACACACATGTTTACACATATAATCGTGCATACACTGCAGACACACACTGGAACACACCGTAGGAGGATGTGGGCTGTTTATCTGTGATTTTTAGCCTTAATCCGAATGTCATTCACAGGTTAAAACAAAATTTTCCTTCAGCAGGAGTGAAAAACTGTTTACCACAGAGCGTTTGTGCAAACAGACGCCGTTTAATTTCTCCTTCTGCATTTTGGAAACCTTTTTTTGCACAGATTACATGAGAAATGGTGCACCGAGCAGTCTGAGTCTTCAGCCTGAGCACACATGGAGCTCCTGCACACTCAGGACGGCTCAATCTCTGCGCTTTTCAGATAAAAAGTCATACATATGCAATTTATGCAGGTAAATATTTGGATGCATTTGAGGAAATTGGTTTCAGAATTTCACGGCTTAGGTTTTGGTCTGCAAGAGCAGGAACATATTTCATATTTCTCCCCCACTGGTGCAGACATTTCTGTCAGCTTTTGGTGAAAGCAGGAATTTTACACTCAATCCAAAGCTCAAACATCACAGGTGCACCAAAAATAACAACACAGGGGATAAAGGAGAGGGGAAATGGTGGCCCTGGACTTAGGAAATAAGAGATTGATGGAAGGTCCATCTTCAGTCTACCAAAAAATCTATCAATCAGGCAAAACGACACATAAACATTAAGAGTTTGTGAATTAAAATGCAAAAAAATTATGCCTTATAAAGCCAGTATTTAGAGAGCTGGTTTTGGTGTTTGTATAACACTTAAGCAGATATGTGACATTTTCATTGTTTCCATCATCATTCAGCTGTAAGTCTGTGTCCAACTCCTCATTTAATATCCCTGATAAAAAGACAGTAGACTCTATTTGTTTGTAAATGAACTGAGGTATTTTGGCGAGCTGGAAGCAGAGGACATCCTCTAAGCGCGGACGCCTGCTTCATCATTTATAAACCTAAATGAGGTGCCGACACCTCTGCGCTCTTCAGCTCGCCATCGAGGACGCAGAAATAAAATGTCTGTTATACGAAGACGACCTTGTTCAAAGACAGACAGGAATCTGTCTCAGTGCCGGGGGGGCTGATGGTCATCAATAAAATACTGAGATGATAGAGTCACAATGATTAAAAAAATAAACTGAGCGTCAGGAAGAGAGGGCTTTATTTATTTCTCATCAACACACACAGCGGTTCAGTGTTTCGTGGCGGTTTTTATGTGGCTTATTAAATTTCAGAATTTCTGTACAGATGAGTATAAATAAACAAATAAGATAAAGTGACCAGAACCGTTTTTCTATCTGACTTCAGACAGGTTTAACTGTGTAGTAAATTTTAACATGGAACCAAATAGAGACAGACTTACTTTTGGAACATGCCCCTAGTGGCCACTCAGGGAGCTACAGCTTTTGGCGCTTCAACTTTAACTAAAGGTTTTGTTTTATTGTCAAGAATGAAATCACCAAAAATCACCAAAAGTGATTACTAATTTTGTAAGAAAGTTATTTTTAGTCCCAAAGTTTGTATGTTGCGCATATGAGCTACTGTGTAGTGAACACAAGTTAGATACTGAGTTCTTGAGTTATCTTGTGCAAAAAATGCCATTTCTGAGTTGTGTATGTGTGTGAATACCTGAAAGGTAAAATGTAAAAAATTTAAAAAGGGAAAATCAAAGGGGTAAATTTGTTTTCTCTTTGAATTGTTGTAGAGCCTTCTTCTGTTGTTTTTCTGTTTGTTTGTTTGTTTGTCGAAGTATTTCCTGTCGGGTCGTAGCCAGCTGCAGTTAATACAGCCATTAAGGCAGCGGCGGCTGGGTGCAGCATCGCTAAGGCCGGGTAAGAGTATTTCTTTGGTGAGTGTTTGGCAGTGTTTTGTTTCTCTTTGGAGTTAAGTTATATTGTTGTGTAACAAAGCGGCTGTTGTACCGCCGCTCCTTTGTTGTTTGAAGGTTGTCTTTGGGCAAAGACGTGACGTCTGTTTCATTCACGAGAGGGTTTGTTGACGATCACCTGAGCACGCAATTCATTCATGGATTTATTTACACTCCTTGGAGAGCGCAGCGAGGTACGTGCTAAATGTTTTAATATTGTTAAATTTATAAGTGTGGAATTGTATTTGATGTTTATTTGTATGTGTTTTAAAAAACAGTTTCACGGTGCCGTAAGGATCATGAAGTGAAGAAATAAATAAAGACCTTATGCATCAGTCAATCTCACGCATCGTCATTCCAAGGGCTGTAACAATGAGTATCTTGTAGATAAATTAGATTGTGTCTTCTCGTATGCGAAAGTGACTGTCTTTTATGAAAAAGTGATAATCTTGTGCATAAATGTGATTATTTTGTGTGCATAGGTTATCACACGTACGGGGTGACTATCTTACATACATATACTGTTGTGATAACATAGATACTTGGTAACTACATCATTGTTAAAGTCATTTCCCATAATGTTAAAATGTAAATAGATAGTATTAAGAGGACTGTAGTGGAAAGGATCACCACCACTATAAAACCATACCGTTTGCAGAGCTTTGGGGACTCTGCAGCTTTACAAACAGTTGCCACATTAACCCAGAACTCAAAGTGACTCTTTAATTTTGCTTATTTTGTCCAGCCAACCGTCCAAACCTCTTTATTATTAAACATATTATCTCTAAAAGTCATTATAAGCTGTTTTAACACCATCCTCTCTTATCAGCACTCTGATTTCCTCTCTCAGCAGCTGCTTCAGTATCTGTGCTGCTGATAAAGTTCCCTCTGCAGCTCTTTTTGTCCTCATCACAGCGTTAATAAGGCCTTTATTTGTGTTGGAGAGGCTGATTAGACCGTCCAGTCGATAAATCCCATTATTTAGATAGTGGAATTAAGTTTCATTTCCTTCTGCCGCTCAGCGAGGAAAGCTTACTCAGTTGTTTGTCGAGCTGTGGGTAAAGAAGAAAGAGATAAAGTCTCAGATTTTCACTTCGACATCTTTTATTTCTTGCATTTTGTTCTTTTTTACACAGCAACACATAGTTTGGTTTCAATTTTTAGCTCTGATTGAATTTCTGTTCTGTGTTTGCGGCTATTTGGTTGAAATAAAGCCAGAATGTTTATTTTTCAAACCACAGACCTGCAGCTGAATGAGCGTTTTCCTCATTACCTGAGCCACAGGGTTTCTCTTTCTCCCCTTTTCTCTTTTTAGACTTGTCACAGCTGTCGTCTTTTATTCTGCGTCTCACCTCTTTGCCTTCAGCAGCGTTGCCTTTTTTTCCCCCCTTTGTTGACAGAGGAGAAGGAGTCATGAAATGAGTCTTTGAACGTCACGTTTAAGGTAAAAAGGATCTGTGTTGTCACTCGCTCTGTCCTGCAGCTGACAGAGCAGAGGATCGTGTTTGCAGTTACGCTGATATTTACAGATGCCTGTTTGTTTCTGACTGTATGACCCTGATTTAATATTACGTTTATATGTCTTTAGTCTTTCACAAGGAACGTTTCACTTCAAAGTTTGTGTCGGAGGAGTAGTTGTGGCTGTTTGAGCTGCAAAATCATCTGAATAATCTGATGTACAGTGGCCCTGAAGGTCAATGGTACAGATATTAAAAGTTAGGAAATAAATGGATATCTGAAAAAGAAAAAAAAATTTTCAGAAACGCACAAAAATGTTTCACATGAACATAGAATATTTTTTGAAAACTGAAATAAATTCAAATACATAATAAATATTTTGTAAAATATTTTTAAAAACCCGCAACTATTTTAGAAAAAATACAAATTTTAATATAACAATTGAATTTTTTTTTCATTTCAAAATTAATAACTTTCATTTGCATTTTTTTGTTTCTTCAAAATTGATGCATGTGTCTAAAAACATTTTGTATTCAAAATGTATTTGCATTTCCCAAATATTCCATTATTTTTCAAGATTTAAGTAAACTGTCATAATATTTTTTTGTTTTCATATTTTGTCTGCTTGTCTTCGAGGCTTTTGTGGTTTTCAAATTTACAGGTTTGCCAAAATATTTATTTGAGTTTCCAAAAAGTTTGAATCTGAATTTTCACTTTTGTATTTTATAAATTCTATTTATGTTTTCTAAAATGTATTTAATTTAATTTAAAATTTAAAGATTAATTTAAAAATGTACGTCCGTGTCATGTTTTTATGTGTTTGTGTGTGTTTTTTTTTTTTTTTTCATGTTTTTTAGGGTAAATGTTAATTTTCTTGCATTGAATGAAATGTATATGTGTTTTCTGAGCTATTTATTTATCTAAATTATTTATCTATATTTGCTTCATTGACCCTCACTGACATAATATCAATGGTTTCGGGGTCCTTTTTTGATGTTATGATGCTCGAAAAATCTGTGACACGTCACGAACTGTATGCAGGCCAGTTTAGCAGCAGGACTCTTCCACTACAGAGCCATTCTGTTGTAATACCTGCAGACTGTGGTGTGTCATTTTTCTGCTGAAATGAAGGTCTTTCTGACAAAGTCAGTGTCTGGATGGCAGAATATGTTTCTTTTAAATCATCATTAAAGTATGATGCTTGATGAATTGTCCTCTGACGGCAAAAACAGCACTGAATTTGGGGTCTAAGTCGTAAAAGAAAACATGCCCCTGAAGAAGCTGCTGTATTTGGCAGATTTGAGGAGCTGGGGTACACAGAGGTGTTGTATGTGTTTCTGTTTCTCTCTGTCAAACAGGTGTCAGACATAAAAACATGATATAAAACTGTGACAGTAGAGAACTAAAGCAGAACGACTCTTTCATCCTTCCTCCTCATTTCTCTTGTTTTTCAAACTCAGAGCCGAATCTCTGAGTTCTTTATTTGTTTTTCACACTTTAAAATGGTGCGTTTGCATACTTGTGTGTTTCCATGGTGACATCTGTCTAACCAACTCTCCTTATAGGCAAAAAAGCACAATCAATGCCCGCTTTTAGAGCCTTCATGCACATATGAAAGTGTGAGTGTGTGTGTCGGAGTGTGTTTGATGGTATTTCGGCGCATTGCATCAGAGCTCTACCACACAACGCTCTGATGGACACTGAGTCCATGAAAGGACCCGTCTGTCTGCATCTGTCCGTCACTCATCGCTGGATTTGGCCGTTCAAGCTCTTCCAATATTCCCAACACCATCCCTGATATTTTCTCGTCCCTCAGCGTCGCCCGTCAGGCTGAAGATGCAGCTGTCATTGACCTTTCTTCCTGAGGACATCCCTGAGACATGAAACAGGCATAAAGCTGCAGTCGGAGTGTTTTTATCACCTGTTTGAGCACACTTTTTACCGTCCTGTTCAGCCATTAGAGCCCATTTCTAAGATGTGGAGCTAAAATGTTCCTGAGAAAGTGACGCTGAGACCCTCGTATAGGAGTCATTTTCTCTGCTGCAGCTGAAGAGATTTCTGCTTTTGAAGAGTTCAAAGGAACATTTCATTCACCTCTCAGATGAAGTAAGACAGGACACATGAGAGATCATAAATTCCCAGAGCTGCTTCCAAAAATATGGATAAATCAAAAAAAAATGCTCCTCTGTTAATTTGAAGTCTCACTTTAGAGGAAAATCTGGGAGGTAATCTGCGTCTGATCCCCTGTTGTCGCCATGTTGTTGCTGGTTTTGTGTGTTTCTTCACTCTTTGTCTTTGTGCCTCCTCCTCTTCCTCTTGAGCTTTTGTCAGGAATAAAAGTGAATAAATAGGCTTCGCCTCCCGCTGGAGTTTAACTGCAGTAGTGCCGCTTTACAGCAGCAGGAAGCCTCCATGTGACGGCTTTTCAATCCACTGACTCCTAGTATTTCTTGACTCTTTGCCCCCCATTACATCTAATTACAGCACGAGTTTGAATGCAACGAGAGTGCGTCATTATTGCGTCATGAGCTCTTTTTACTACAGGTGTGTTGCTGATGGATTGTACTCAGCTCCCTAAATCACTGTTTCTTTCACTCTGAAAACTTCAGTGTTTTTCTGACAGAGAGAACTCTGAATTGATTCATATGCAAATATAACAGACTGTGGTAAAAACTGGACTCTGATTGGTCAAAATGTCATATCACCGATTCTTTTCCTCAACAACTAAAGTGAAAAAAAGACAGGCACAACCCAACTAAGCCTAGAGGCCAAATATTACTGACAGGGCCTGGACCTGCCCCTCAAAGACTAGAGATATGACTTGGGTTTACCCTTCAGAGTCCAGTGGTTTGACTTATACGTGTGGCCAGAGACTTAAAACTTCCCTTGGACAACCCCTTAGAAATAGGAAACTTGATGGAGATTTGCTTCTCAAAGACTTGAGACTTGATTGAGCCCAGTTGCCAAAGATGTGTGACAGAACCTAGACTTGCCCCTAAACACTTGAGGCTTAAGTATTGACTTGGACTTGTGATCAATGATTTGAGGCCTGACCAGGACTTGTTTCTAGAGGCATGACTTTGATTTTTCCCTCAGAGACTCTAGACTGACTTGACTCTAGACTGACTTGGACTTGACTAAACTAGAGGCCAAGGATGTAGAACTTGGACTTGCTCTTCAGAGACTTGAGTCTCAACTAAAAGTTCCCCCTCAGAAATTTGGGTCTTAAGTTGGACTTGTCCTTCTGGGTCTTAAAACTTGGCCTGGACTTGCCCTTCGAAGAGTTGAAACTTGACTTGCCCAGTAAATACATGGGACATGACTTAGGTTTGCCTCTCATAGACTTGAGCCTGTGCTTTGATTTGTGGATTAGAGACTTGGGATTAAGACTTGAAACTGGACTGAGACTTGCCCATCAGAGACTTATGACTCCACTTGGGTTCCCCCCATAGACATCTGTGACTAGACCAAAGCTTGTGGTCATGGACTTCAGACTATGCTTGGATTTCCCTCTCTAAGACTTAAGAACCAGTTTACACTTGCCTTTAAAATCCTCGAGTCTTGACCTGAACTTGAACTTCAGAAGGTTAAGGGCCTGATCTACTAAGATCCAAAATAGCGAGCACTAATTTGCGTGTGCAAACTAAAAAATTGCACATGCTATTAGTCAGCGTTTTGTGGGTAAATCTACTATCATTGCGTGTGCAATTGATACATGGCGCAAATGTGGTGCGGACCACCCTCTTTAAACAGGGATGTTGTGTGCGCTGTCGGCTGTCACCATGGAGAGTTTGTGAGAGCAGAGTGATTGTAGATGAAAAACGAAGTTTGAAGCCATGGAGTTGCACAAAACGCTTTGGGGAACTGTATAAAAGGCAAGGCAAGTTTATATAGCACCATTCATACACAAGGCAATTCAAAGTGCTTTACAGATGCAAGAAGATATACTAGAAATCAAAAAAGTGATTAAAACAATTTAAAATCAATAAGACAAACAGATTCATGTTTTGGCATGGCATGGCACTTTTGCATCCTTGACTCTAAGAAACTTGAAATTTACCCTGAACTTGTGGCAAAGGAACTGAGACTTGCCAAAAATTTGGGACTAGGCTTGGTCTTGGTACTTACAGATTTCAGTCTGGACTTGAACTTGAGGCTAAAGACTTAGGACTCAAATGTACTTGACCCTTAGGTACTCTGGTCTTGTCTAAGACTTGCCCCTTGGATACATGAGACTTGTACTTGTGACTCATGGACTTGAGTCTTCAATAGGTCTTGTGGTCAAAGACTTGAAAATTAAACAGGACTGAGAGACCCCTGACAGCAACTTTAAATTTTTCACCTCTGCAACGTTCAGAATTTTTATATCATGATTTTCACTCCCATCACAGCTGAGGTGCTTAAGGAGTTGACAGATTTTCATGGGGGCAAGACTCTTGCTGTACAGAGGTAAATGCTGAGCGGCAGGATTGCAGACAACCTACACAAAATATCCATCTGCTGCGAGCCTGGCCCAGAAAATCCTGCATGTCTTTTAAATATATTTTCTACAATAGCCACAAGTGACACACAGCAAATGCTTACATAAACGTGTGCATGGACAGACCTATCACATTAGTCAGGCTGGTGTCAGCAGACCTACTACCATTATTACTTGACAAACTTTTCCAAAAGTTAGTCACGCTTAGTCCCCTGTGGCTAATATCTACAAGTACCTCTTAGAACCACTCTGTAAAAACCTGAATCATCCCTGTTAGGGAGCTGCGTCCCCTTTAAAGAGAAAATCTATTATCGGAGATTTCCTGTTTCACATTAAAAGCCTTCAAGCACTTCAGGAGGACAGAATCCATCTCTCCCCTTAGAGGCCTTCATTGTAAATCATGCGCAGGAAGTGTTGACTTTCATGAAGAGATACTGAACTGCAGGATGGCAGAGGGAATCGATTAAATATTTATTTCTTTGCTATTTTATTCATTTTTATTTTTATTATGTATTCTTTGAGACTCTGCTTCTTGCCACAGTGCACATGTGCATATTTATCTGAAAGGATTTGCATCTAAATATGGCACCGCTGCTTTTAAACATGTGACGACACGCCTGCTTTCGCGACACTAATCTCAACACTTGTGAATGTTCTGCAGTAGTTTTCTGCTTCCTCTCACTCTCTCTGTCTCTCTTTCTCTCTCTCCTTCTTAGTTTCTTAATAAACTGAACTGAAGTGATATTTATACCCGCAGCCAGACACTTCATTAGATCTTAGAGCTGTCACCGAGGCTCACCTACACACACAAACACACGTTTTCAGGGTTTTAATGTGAATGCAGATGGGGCGGAGGGCTGTCACAGCCAACAATGAGACAAACAAGACAGATAGAGAGCAGAATCGCCTGAAGGAGAGAGAGACAGGAGGGAGTACAGCAGAGAAATCACAGCTGAAAACTCGTCATTTCTCATGTGAATGACACACCGTCTCCATTTGTCTCATCTCCCTCCTCTCATTTCATTCCTTCCTCTGCTCCTCCTCCTCCTCATCTTCATTTTATCTTCATTATTACGAGTCTGTGTGAGTGTGTGTTTACGTGGGAAGTCTGACAGATTGGTGTCAGTTCTGCTCGGCTGAGACACTTTCTACTTTAAACTCATCCTGCATCGTCCTCTGATGTAAATTTCTACAATACAAATCTCAACAACGCCTTCTCTGATTTGTTTCTGTGCCCGATAGCAGCCCCACAAATCCCCAAATTCTCTGTTGCTGGATGTTGTTACCTTCAAAAGCGGGTTGGGGAAGTATGGTGAAAGTGACAGCCTCAGTTTGTATAAATTTCTCAGGAGGGATCAGTCTAAAGCTTGAAACACAAAGAGAAGGTGAGTACAGGTTCATATAATCCAAGGTGACTGCATATTTAAAATGGGGCATCTTTATTTTTAACTCTAGCTGCTGTATTTGCATATTTTAATGCCAAAATGACAGAAAGGCACACGTTTTTGCAGTGAAATCCTCTTTTGGGACTTCATGAGATCTAACCACATCCATCAAAGTTCTTGGTTTTGCCACGGACAGGCTCAGATTTGGTAAAGAAATTAAAAACCCCAACAATGATGGACCTTTTTTCAAGTAATTAGATTTACTTTCTATATCTGGACTCACACTTCTGTCAAAACTTTTCATTAAATTGTTGGCCAGTTGATTAACTGCTGCATTGGAGATTCAAAACATCTACAATCAATTGCTGTCAAGGTATCCAGGAAGACCACCCTAATGAAACCAGTCCTCTGAGGGTCCCTGATGACTGTTTAAAGTTCGCTGATGCAGGGGATTGTTGTTTTGAATTCTCCCTGACTTTCTTTCGATTTTCTGGTAGTATCAGGCGCAAGATCAGGCAGGTTTTCTTCACTGTTTTATTGTTGAATTCTCTCTATGTGGTGTGCCACAGGGCTCAGTTCTGGGGCCACTATACCTGCTGCCCTTGGGACTCCCAGTTGCAACAGAAGGGACCGTTGAACCATTGCACCTTCAAGAAGTTTGGACCTTTGTGTTACCTTCTTTTAAAATACTTTAGGTTTTCCACGAGTTTGTATGTTTGATGGATTGTTTGTCAGATTTTTGAAGCACTGATTTGAATGCCGGGCCCCATTTCCTAGGGCAGATCTGGTGTAATATGATTGAGTCTGTCTCACTCAGTTGTATTTGACAACTTGGACAAAGTCTTCACCGACTTTAAGCTGGACGCTGACACCAGTATGAACTGCTTAATTATGTAGCAGCAGCCCCAACTTGTTAACCTAATGGCAGAGTCTTTCCTCATTCCTCTCCTCATTCTTTCTTTATTTTACACTGATCTTTATGGATTTTACTGATGCCCTCATAAACATTGGCTGGTTCTGCTTTTTCATTTGGCTGAAAGCTGAAATGTCAAAAAAAAGCAATTGATGTTTGGTTTAGGTACGAGTTCAGTTTCCACTACTGCAGTTTGAACATGAGCTTGGTGGAATCATGAAATCCCCCCAATGTCACCTGAGTCATCAAGGAAAGCACCTGTTTTATTTAGCAGAAACGGGAGTTGTTGGTCTGCCTCTGCTGCTAAAAAAGTTGGTTTGAGAAGTTGAGAGTGGTAAACTATAGTCACTTGAATATAAAATATATTTTTTTTTATGGGCTCAATCTGAGAAAGTGGTGGTCTAGGACTTTGGATGCGTACTGAACCCCCATGTCTGAGGCCAGCTGTCACTCACAACAACCGTGCCAGGGGGATGAAAGCTGGAGCGTGATCATCCAGGACAGAATGACTGATTTTAAGATAACGGTAATTGACCCATCAGATATATTAGCTGACAATGGAATAGTTTAATGTCTGAGGATGGTGAGTCCAAAACAACAACAAAAAAGCTCACTGTTTTGAAATATTTTGGATTAGATTAGATTAGATAGACTTTATTGAAGGTTCCTGCAAGGAAATCAAAAATATCTAATATCTTATCTCCACCAAAACCAGACTGATCATAGTTCAGAGATAATTGGATGGCACTGGAAGTATGTCACTGGACACTTGTATGGTTGTTTTCAAATCAACAACTAAGTCCTTCATTTGTTGGTTCATTGATCGTTCATTGAAACCCATCACAACGAGACACAGAGTCCTCTTCAAGCCGTCTTTTTCCTCCGTCCCCTGAGGTTCAATATAAATTTAAATCCCAGCGGTTGGCAGACAATAAAGAGGAGCCTTGAGTGGATCTTTGTGGCATCAAAGAGCTGAATTAAGTGAATCAACCTCTGTCAAAGCAGACAAAGAAATACATCTACCCAGCCTTCTACTTTCATGAGTGCCTTTTGTTGACTGAAACTAGTTTTTCTTGAGTTTCCATTGCTTTTCATCATACAAGTGAGGAAAACAATTACTTTAAAGCTATGCATGGATTCTGGGTTCCTACTTTATACAACAAGGGCAAGGACAACTTATTACAGGCGTCCATATTTTAAAAACTTTCTGCGGAGAGTTGAACCTCTATTAATGTTTGAGTCTGTGACATGATGGATGAACAAAGTTTTATTCTAAAGTGCACAGTCTGGAGCTGTCCTCCTAAATTTATGCTGTTAACAAAATCTGCTGAAACCTTTCACCAAGAACAGAGACTGATGAATTTGGATGCATTGCAAGCATATTTTTCAATATGTCCAAGATCTCTAATATTGAATAGTTACTATCCAAGACTTCCAAATCCTCTGATATGAGGTCTCAGCTCTTCTTAAATCAAACTAGCAATGGGGACAGACTCTGAGCCAAGACAGACCATTATCCAAACAGCCTTCAGAAGTAGCAGCACTGCTGGTTTAACCATTTGCCTACTCATTTAGTTTGTTGTTTTCTTAGACTTTGAAGTTTTTAATGGTAGGTTTGGACCCAACTGTAGAGTGTATAAAAGATGGACACAGTCTTAGATGTCCTCACTGATTTCTGAAGAAGCTTTTGAGGTGCAGTTGCACCTACCAATTCTTACTGACTACAATCAAATTTTGGTCAATACAACCACCAGAAGTATGCTGCACTGCCTTGAAATGGAGTTAATAAACTCAAGGTCTGAATATTGTAAATAAGTGCTTGAGTGATAAAGGCATGGGGAACACCAACCCTAAGCTGAACCCTAACCACTGCCAAGGAACATAGTTGCCATAAGATTAACACATCTTCTTGCTTCTATGTGGAAATGCAGCTGGCGTGCTGATCTCATTCCACCCATCCTTCAACAGGATAAATACCCTGTGTTCACTTATAATGCAGATCTGGAAAACTCATGTTGATAAATTAAAATAGTCAATTATAGGTCTCCAGACAACAACTTTTTCAGGAAGAACTTCATGTTTCAGCAAGAAATTGACCAACCACATTTGCAGGTATAACAGCATGGCTCTGTAGTAGAAGAGTCCTACTGCTGAACTGGCCTTGCTAGAGTCCTGACTTATCACCCACTGAAAACATTTGGATCAAATGAACCCTGTACTGTTGAGTTGTTGAAATCCTATGTCAGGCAAGAATGGGACACTTCCCTTTGAAACTCTAGAAACTGGCCTCCTGTTTACAGAGTTGATGACACACAAAGGTTAAACTGTCCTTGTCCAATCTCTTTCAAAACTCCTACAAGCTTCACATTTGAGCTTGGATTTATGAAAGAGAGCTCAGGAATACAGGCACAAGTTCAAACAATCCACTGCAGTGACTCACTCTGAAGTATAGCTAATTTTTCACCCTAATGGTGGTTTTACAGGACTTATCTTCACAGGGTTTAAACGGATTAAACTTTCTGCTTAGACTGAGGATTTTTTATAGTATCATAATGAGATAAAGCTGCATGTAATTCACAGCAGGAGTCCAACAAGGAGTTAAACCGGATTAACTCGTAACACCATCAGTTCTGACATGGATCCCATCATGCGTCATGTATAAAGGTCAACATGAAGGTCAGCTTGCCTTTCACCCACACGCAGTCATTGATCAATCGATAATCAATCATGTACACCAATGCACAGCACGGTCACATTACTGCAGCATTAACACCTTCACACACACACACACACACACACACATAGAAACATACATTGGAGGGAGTGTGATTAAAATAATCTTGCAGTGATTCATGTGTTTTATCGTCTGCAGGTGATTAATCCGTCACCGTCATTGATGGCACATTTATCTCAGCTGTCTCTTCTAATTTGCACTTAATTCACACAAACCTGTCAGAAGTATGTTTAAACATGTCACATTAACAGGATGAATTCACAGATTCTCACAAAGCTGCAAAGTGCGACCTGAATTTATCATCAGTGGAGGGAGAGGAGTGACGGTGACATGGGAGAAGAAGAAGAATCACGACGAGGATCGAGTATCACAGGCAGAAACAACAGAGGAGAGAGAAAAACAAAAGAGATGTCTTTTAAAATGAGGGCATATTTTTGAGTGTTTCTATTTTATTCCTTCTGTAAAGTTGAGTGTGGCCATCAAAGACTAATTTCTGTGCCATAAGGCTTTATAGTGGTCAAAAAGCTATTAAAAACAACACTCACTGTGCTTTATTTGGATTCAATCCATTCACACCATCCTGCCGCCCCAAATAATCCTGATAGCTGTTGATGTCCTTCTTCTCTGAAAGCAACAACTACTTCATGTTGCAGGCAAAGACATCAGCAAACCCTTCTTAAAATATGAAATTAAACATTTGTGAGCTACTTTTGAAGGTTTAAATCTAATTTAATTTGCGTGCCAGGTTGGATTTGTCATTGGAGTGCACCCCACATACACACAGCAGCTTTCAGTCCTCGTCACAGCAGTCCCCAGATCGACTCAAGGCCACCACAATCTGCTGCATGTTTTCCCTGCTCTCTGATTCATGTACTGTATTTTTCCGCTGTTTTCTTGTCAAGAAAGGAAAAAATGCACCAAAGCTACACATCTTGGCATGTAATAGAAAGATTACCAGAAGTTTCAGTTAAATGAAACATTTATTATCTTTAAGGTAAAAACAGCAAAATTCAAGTCAGAAATATTTTAATCAAAGTTAATCGTTTCCATGTGGAGGGTCATATTTGGTTGTGAGGGTCTGTTCTGGGAGATACATGCCCTTCTATCTGTGTAAAGTGGAATAGCAAAGCCTGAGGCAGGTAAAGCATCAGCAAAAACATGCCAGATACTAGGAGCTCCCTGCCCTTCTAGGTGTGAATGTGAAATTCAATAGTCAGAGGTTAACTTTTTCACATGTGAATACAAAAAGCCTAGGAAGGAAGAGCATCAGCAAAACGTTACAGTCGCCAAGGGTTTTCCACTCTTCCACATATGTAGGAGAAATGACAAAGCCTGAAGCAGAAAGGGTTCACCTCTCCTCCCTTTCCAAGTGCATATATAAAAAGCCTAGGAAGGAAGAGCATCAGCAAAGACGCCCTCAGGTACTAACAGCTCCGTAACCTTTCCTGTGAATATAAAATGCCAAAGCCTGAGGCAGGGTGAGCACTATTTCCTACTGTTTATGTCTATACAGTATATGAAAAGCCAAGGCAGGTAGAGCAGCAGCAAAGAAGCTCTGGGCCCTCAGATACTAACATCTCCCTAACCTTATGTGTGTATATAAAATGCCAAAGCCTGAGGCAGGGAGAGCACTATTTTCTTCTGTTTATGTACATACAGTTTATGAAAAGCTAAGGCAGGTAGAGCAGCAGCAAAGAAACTCTGGGTCCTAAGAGCTCCCTGGTTTTCCACATGTGTATGTGGAATGCTAAAATCTATGGCAGGTAGACCACCAACAAAGCCTCCTGGTACAAAACAGGCTTCAGTGACCTTCAGTTCCCTAACTTGTCCTGTGCCATTACTGCTGAAGGTCGCTGCATGTATGTTGTACTATTTAACAGATGTTAGCATACTTACATAGCCAAAGAAGCAGAAAAAATTGAGCGTTTACTTTGTCCTGTAGAGTTTAAGCTGATCTGATTGCTCCATAATCAAAGGCCAAAGACTGTAACTTGCATGTATTACCAATACTTACACAAACTTTCATCTTTCAGGATGGTGTAGGTTCTTAAGACTTTTTATTTTGTGGCTTTTCTGTCCATACCGAGGATTAAAGCTGGAAAAAAAGAAACTAAAATGACAGAGATACAGAAAAAAACCGTGAAAGAAGCCAGATGAGTGACAGTCATAAACCAAAAGAGAGAAGAGTGAGAGAGGCCCCAGATGCTGGCTCGTCCTTTTCTCTCTCCTCTTCATCTCTGCTCAGCTCCACCCGGCTCCTGGCGCCTGAAGGCGGCAGCATAAGGACAAACCCATCGCACCATCTGAGCCCCAAGCAGCTGGGAGGTGGGGGCTTCGTTCACGCTACAGAGCGTCTCTGTTTACACAACACCCTGCAGGACACACACTAATCTACAATATTCACTATGCTTGTGAGGACTCTTTATTGACTTCCATTTAATTTCTGCTCCAGCACCGTTACATAAAACCAATCGTCTTTTTCATTTCTGGCCCTGTGATCCAGTCCAACACATAGGATCCATAGAAATCTGGATTTTTACCACGTACAGGTCTTTGAGTGACTCCTCGCTTTGTGTCTTAAATTGGTCCATAACTCAAAAATGACTCAATTACTGTACAGTAAATTGGTTTTCTTGCACTGATTGGGTCACTGATTGAAATCAAACTGGGACACTGATGAGCCAATTATCTGAGGCATATTTCATGGGCTAAACGTGGTGATGAGACCATATGGACTGGGTGCAGCTGTAAAGATCCTTGTAAAACAGAGAACAAAGTTGTTACAGATACGGAAATATAAACAGTTATTTTGGTGAAATTTTAGTAGAAGTACACAAAACATGACGCCAATAACTTGGTGCGCCCGAGATGTTTCCTCATGGCTGACTTCCTCAGTGCTGTTTGGGTCCCTCTGCCATAGTAAAGCTGATGTTGATGATGCTGAAAAATGATGAGAACATACTCTCTGTTTAGAACTATTTAAGTATGTTTGTGTTGTACAAGTCCCAAAAAGACCCAAATCTGAAGCATAAAATCATAAAATGTATATTTGGACTTAAGAGCCAGATTAAATAGGCAGAATGATACACTTCTTAATAGTTACAAAAACAATCACCAAAGTGGAAAACCCTAGTGCTGTCATTCCCAAATTTCCATGGTCGAGATCCTTGGCAAAGATTTTTGGTTATCCTATTCATGGTGGTTCAAAATTTGATCCTAAAGGTTGAAGTTTTATTATGTTTAAATGGATTACCTGTCTCGGTGCAGCAAGATGAGTGTGATTTAGATCACTCTATGAAACATGATCTTAGTTTAAAACTTGAAAACGTATCATGAGCTTAAACTTGTACAACACAGTCTGTGCGTATGACCCATAGACTGTATATAAAATGGACGTCTGCCTCCTCGCTGGGTGGAGCCTCTCTGAGAACAGCACCCTCTAGTGACGGGCTGCAGTATAGGTCATAAATCCCGCCTCCTCCAGCAAAGCTTATGGGGATGTGGACAAACTTTAGAAATTTATTACACAGATTATTAATTTTTCTCGATGTTGACATGTAGTTAAGACTGGTTTGTGCTCAAGTCTTCTTTTTTCTGTACACCTCTGTTTTTCAAAAGTTATTAGGGGGGTTCACGCATTCTATACGTACGAAGATTGCGCAGTTCACCCTGGTGATACGCTGTTTGAGCCGAGCGTCATCACAGCAACTCTCGGCGACTCTCCCGCCGAATGGGTACAATGTTACTGCGCAATGTTGGTTTCAGGGAATTGAGAAAAATCGTGGAATTACCAAGATCTTGTCAGCTTTAAATCCGTATACTAGCAGAAGGCGGAACCAAGTTGTCCATTGTATATACAGTCTATGGTATGACCTTTATGTTGGTGCGTAGTGTTTGGTGGGATTCTGCAGATCAATTTTAGAGCATTTCAGACCTTTAGTTGCAGGTAACTTGCTGCAGGTTTTGCAGGCAGTCCTCATACTGTGTCTTTCTTGGTGCGCCCGAGATGTTCATGGCTGACTTCCTCAGTGCTGTTTGGGTCCCTCTGCCATAGTAAAGCTGATGTTGTGTAGCCTCCATGCCCCTTGTGGAGTACAGCACATTAAACTGGTGCACCGTAGGTGTCATTTTGTTTATATCCTGTTGCAGGTCGCACCAAACATAATGTTCCAGCCTCATGTTGACCGTGACAACAGAGATACATATGATTAAGTATGTATGACCTACTAATCCCAGTTAATCACTGGATACCCAACCACAAAGAGGCAAAGATTCAGAGAGCTTCAACCATCCAGGAGACTTGGGCTTTGGTTGTTTCTTACAAGGTGAACCATCTGCATAAACACCGACTAAACTTCCACACTGTGAATTCAAACACATAAAACTTGCACCAGGGATTTTCTCCTGCAAACACAATAAAAACATAAAAACAGTTCAAAGGTAGTATAATTGGTAAAACGTGAGCCACTAAACCGCCAGTTTTCTGTTGATGGACCACCTGTGAATACAGCCATCAGTGTTTTCAGCACGTGTGTGTGTGTGTTAACGTTTCTTCTGCTCCCCATCTAAACTCAGAGTAATTAAAAGGAGCTAAATGAGTTTGTTCCTTTGATTCAAATCCTGTCTGAGGGAGAAAAACACTCTTCATCACTGTCAGGAGAGAAGGAGGAGGAGGAGTAATATGGTTTTTATCTCTGCTGGGAGAGGGAAATAGTTCAGGAGGAAAGAAAAGTTAGTTTAGAGGAGAAAGTGAGGAAAGACCTGAGAGCGAAGATTAGAAAAGAAGAAGACAAGGTTTTATTACAGTGTGAGGAAGAGGAGATAGAGGAGGAAGACAGGTTTTATTACAGCGAAGGGAGGATGAAGAGAAAAAAGGAGGAGGAGATGATGGAGGAGAATAACAGGTTTTTATCTCATCAGGAGGAGGAAGAGAGCAGGAGGAAAAACTCAACTAAAGAGAGGAAATGGAGGAGACAGGATTGAGAGATGAGAGGAAGAAAAGGAAAGAGAAGGAAAGATGAACAAGCAGTCAAATTGTAATAAAAAGGAGGTGATAAAAAACATCAAAGAGAAGAGAAGAAAAAGTAAAGTAAAGAAAGAGAAAATAACAGAGATGAAATAGATAATTTAAACGAGATGAGGAGAAGAGAGAAAATCAGAAATATGAAACTATCAAAAAAAATGTAGAATATAAAGAAAAAGGAGATCGAACAATCAGAAGAGGAATGTTTGAAGGAAAAATAGAAGGGCAAACAGGATACAAAAGTAGAGCAAAAATGGGAAATTGGGAACAGAAAGGTAAGTAGGATGAAGAAAAGAAAATGAAAAAGTGAATGAGGAAAAAAAATTATGACTGGGTGAAAAAAGAATAGTAAGAAAGAGGAGAAGAAGGGGAGGGGAAAAAGAGGAAAGAGAAGAAAAAAAATGAAAAAGATTGAGAGGAGAAATAGGTGAGAAAAGATAAAAAACAAAATAATGTGTGAGAAAGAAAAATGAGTAATGAAGTGACAACGAAAAGGTGAGTTAAAAGAAAAGGAGAAAGAAAAAGAATAAAACAATTTTAAGGGGAATAAATGAAAAAAGGTGATGAGAATGAGGAGGACAAGGAGGAAAGGAGATGTAAAGAAGAGTAAGGAGAGGTTAACCGTGAAGAGAAGTTAAAAAAAAAACATTTGGAGAAAGAAGATAAAGAAGAGTAGAAAGCATTCAAAGATCAAAGTGCAACAATGAAGGATGAAGAAGATAAATGAATGAACAAAGTAGGACAGTAAAGAAGAAGGCAGAGGAGAGAAGGAGACGGAAAAAAAACAGAAAATGTTGAAAATGGCGAAAGATGAGAAAAAGAAAGGGGGTTGATGTAAAAGGAAGAAATGATGAAGAAAAACAGGAAGAAAAAGAAAAAAGGAAGGAGTGAGATAAAAATTAGAGGAAGGAGTAGAGAAGGAAAAAAGAGTTGTTAAATGTAAGGACAAAAGTATGATGAAGAAATGACAAAGAAGTAAAACCAGCAGAAGAATTCCCAACAGAAGCGAGGGACGGGGTTGAAAAACAGTGTCCTCAGCTCCTTAACAGATTGATCTGTTCCTCTGAGCATTATGATCGATCACCTGATCGATTGCTGTGATTGGAGCTCTGGACAGTACCAGTGTGCTCATTGGTTAGCTGTCCTCTGCTCCGGGCCGACGGCCTCATTGGTCAGGCTGATTGATCAGCTGTATCAGGGCTTGTCTGCTGATCAGCTGATGGCCGGATCGGGGATTGATTGGTTGGACTGGTCACTTCAGGTCCATCACTGTGATCGGGTCAATGGATATAAGAGAGAGTAGCATGTTGGTGCGCTGAGTTAACACTCAGAGGAGATTTTACATTGAAGATAATGTACATTTAATAAACTAGATAATGATGAAATCTGAGGACTTTATCTCTGATATGAACCTTTGAAAGCAAGTTTAACTCAGTACCAGGCAAGTTTTAAAATGTTAAAAGCTTTACATCGCTTGCAAATAATTTAAACCCTACACTAAGTAACCCTCATGGAGCTCTGCCTTAAAGGGATATTCCGGGGTGAAATTAATTTAGGGTCAAACACACCATAACACCGAGTTAGACACCCCCTCGAGAGATGAATGTTGCTTCTCTAGTTTTAGCAACTTTAGTAACGACTGCAGGATAGTAATACACAGCAGTCTGAGGGAGCCAAACGCACACCTCAACCAAACAGCCACTCTATAGCCACAAATAATGCTCAGAACAGCACCTAACTTCATCAACAGTACATATAGGGTCCCAGCCATAGCACTAGCTACCAAACATCTTTTTAGCTTTGCCTGATTTCTTTAGCGAAGAGACCAAACATAACTCACCTACTCTCTTCTAGCAGCTGCTTGTTTGTAGCGAGTCCTCAGGCCAGTCCTTTACGGACTACAACAGGGTGACGCAGCTCAAGGAAGAACATTTATGATTATCTCTCATGTAAAGGAATCAGACCGAGACGCTAAGGCAGAAGAACTACCGCGTCTGCAGTGCAAAATGA